TCCTTTCTGGGGGTTCCTGGATGCTTCGCGTCCCTACGGTTGGAGCCGCGTCGGGAAACGTGTCAGGATGGACCCCTGGGAGGGGGGGGCCCAGTTTTGAGCGAATTTGTGTCAGGCGGGAAAGCCGCCGATGTTGTCTCAATTGGTTTTCCTCTAAGGGGGGGGCGGGGACTCGAAGGGTGGGTTGGAGAAGTTTTCGGCGGTCATTGGAGGAGGCGTTCGTTGGCGCTTGAAGGTCTTTTTTTACCCTGGGTGCTCAGCTAGCAGCTGCGCCTCGGCGGGAGCTTTCCAGGGGTGCCCGAATCGTCCCGGGAACGGCCATCGGAGTCCTGACCCAAAACCATTTGGCGGTGGCGTGTGTGTGTGTGTGTATGGTGTGTGTGTGTGTGTTGTGTGTGTGTGTTTTGCGTTGTTGGGTTATCATTTCTCACATCTCTGTCGTCTTCCATCCTTCTCCCTCTCCCTTGTACCTTCCCTCTTCCCTCCCTTCCCCTGTTTTAGGGGCCGTGCCAATTACACGTGGCATGTACGGAAGATATACCCCAAGGGGGGTACGATCGAAGACGAAGTGGGCGGGTATCGAGGATTTGGGATAAGAGCGAACAAATTTCAAGTTAATTGTTGAATTCTCAGCTCTACAGAAACTATTGTCATTCCTCCCTCCTCTGATGCACCTTGAGTTTTCTGCAATTGAATGTCACTTCCTGATGCTCGCGCCCTGTTTTTTCACAATGGAAGGTCTTGAACCTGAGACTGTGTCTGTGGCCCCCGGTTTACAACGACCACGGTTCACCGATGATATCTCTTCACATTGTATTCAAATTTGCATTCGATTTACCAGAGGATCGCGCCATTTCCCGCGAACGGTATGGAGCAGGATTGACGCTTCAGCGACCCGCCCGCTCGACTCGGCCGTCTTGGCCCTCCCGTTCGACCTGCCCGTCAGGGTCCGCCCGCCCGACCCGCCCGTTTGGCTCTGCCGCTTGTTTCCCTGTGCCTCACCCCCCTCCTGCTAGTCTCTCTCGTGCTCCATCCTTTTTCCTCCCCCTTGTCTCTTTTCTCCTCCCTTCCTTCCCCCGTTTTGGGGGCCGCGCCAAGGGTACGATCGACGACGAAGAGGGCGGGCATCCAGGGTTTGGGGTATCAAAAATGCTTAGTGACACGCGAGCATATGAGAGCGAACAGTCTTAAACTTATTCCTTTTGTCGTTCGACTCTCTGCTCTAACTGACAAGTATTGTTTTTTCCCCCAGTGCACCTTGTATGTTTTGCAATTGAGTGCTTCTACTGGGGCTCGTACCTTATTCTTAACCAGGGAAAGTCGTTAGCCTCAGACTGTGTCTTTGGTCTTCGGTTTGCAAGAATTGCGGCCCCTGCCTGGCAATTCCTCACAATGTATTCAAACTCGCGCTCTCGCGCAGGACTTTCTCACAATGTATCCAGGAGGCGCGCTCTATCATGGGACTTCCTCGCAAATTATGTATTCGACAACCCGTCGGGTGATAAGTCGGGGGGAATCAACTGATGACAACTGCGATGATTGTGACGGTAACGATGCTGGTGATGCGCCCGCGAGTTGGTGACGATGCATGATGGCAATGTTGAGGTCGATGCACGATGGCGATTGTGGTGGTGACGATGCATGGCGACATGTTGGTGATGAGCGGGGCATCGCAAACGGGCAGCACGCAACAGTACCAGTGAACCATGCAACCTCGGCTGGCGGCAGCAGAGCAAGCGCCAACGGCCCGACACCCGCGATGACCCACCCACTCCGGTGATTGCGTCATCGCCGCCAGAGCGGGCAAGTAAATGCCACATCCAATGCTCGAGGTGGCAGTTGTATTCTCCCGCGGCCCCTGTGGCGCGCCAGATGGTCGAAGAAATCTTCGCACGGCGGCGGGCCAGCTCAGAAGACGGAGCGGGCCCCAGGCGTGCGTCAACCCTGGGGTCGGAAAGGGGTGTGGTATAAAGGAGTGCGGTGCCAGTGTTAAAAGTGACGATGATACCTTCGATGGCCGCAATGTTGCATCCCGTTTCCAAAAGCGTTGGCTTTGCGTCGGCAGCTTCAAACATATTCAGAATTCAGGATTCCAATTTCCCAAACGACCGCCGTTCAATCTGAACGGCGACGCAAGGCCCATTCCTTGACGTCCCATCGCCAGGCACGCGATTCCAGAACTTCGGAATTCAATGTCGTGATCCCAGAATTTCTTGACCGTCGTTTCTGAATTTCTTGATGTATACAATGTCTTGAATCAAGCAGTCTTTTTGCATGTTTAGATTCCGGAATGTCCGGAATTACGTCTTTGGTGATACGAGATTTCGGGAGTCATGCTGTTCGCGGTTCGAAATGTCCGAAATTGTGTGTTTGGTCACCGGGCGTTTAAGAACAGGTTTTGGTGTTTCCGTTCACATAGGTGTTCGGTTGTTCAGGGAAGTTGGCATCAGGAGTTCTGACGTTGTTTGAAGTGGTCGGCACAAAGCCGACGTTGTTGAAATCGGGATGCAATGCCCTCGCGACTATTTGAAGTAACGTTGCCATTTTCAGCACTGGCACCACACCCTTTTATTTCACACCCCTTGCCGACCTCCAAAGTCAAAGCGACCTTGCGGCCAGTACACCCTCGCGACACCATGTGGACACCATTGGGACGCCATCGCGACAGCATCGGGGCACCATCGAAACACCATCAGGAGGAGCACATGAAGATATTACGGGGGCAAATAAATGGTAACATCGGAACTCCATCAGGACACCATCGGGGCACCGCACCACTAGGACACTATCGGGACACCAACTGGACACCATAGGGACACCATAGGGACGCCATCGAGGCATTATCGGGACGCCGTCGGAACAGCATCGGGGCACCATCGGGGCACCATCGGGACATTATCGGACCACCATCGGGGCACCATCGGGACACCATCGGGGCACCATTTGGACACCTTCAGGGCACCAGATGGACACCATCGGGACACCTTCGGGACACCCCGAGGCCACCGCCAGCCAACTGGCGGGACCCCTCGATCCACCGCTGGCCAACCGAGGGGGGGAAACAATATTTGGCTCAGTTTTGCTTTAGTCAGTCCGTTCCGCCCACGCCGCGTCGCATCGCCCGCGCGCACGGCACGAAGCCGAAACCGATTTCCTGGTGGGGTGTATCCGTTTCATGTCGAGTTCTACCGCTAATTTCCGATTTAGACGCCACGCCCTCGGCACTTGGAAACCACGCTCTCGCTCTGGACGCCCTCACGGTTTACTGTGGGATCGCGCTATCGATCGGGATTTGGGAATCGTGCTATCGTTCGGGACGTCTTGGCGATTCATGCAGGACTGACGCTTCAGCGACCCGCCCGTTAGGGTCCGCCCGCCTGACCCGCCTGGTTAAGGTCCGCGCGCCCGACCCACCCGTCTGAATGAATTGAAGGAGTCCCACGCGAGAGCGCGATTCCTGAATACATTGTGAGGACGTCTCAGGGGAGATTTCGATTTGCAATGAATTGCGAAGACGTGTCAGGCGGAAGCGGTTGTTGTTGATGTAAACCGGGGGCCAAAAACACGATCTGAGGTTTATGACGTTCCATTGCAAAAGCCAGGGTGCGAGCCCCAGGAGGAGCACTTCAATCGAAAAGCTCAAGGTGCACCAGAGAGGAGGGATCAACAATAATCGTTATTTTTGTCATCAGAACGTCTTGAAGTTGATTCGCTCTTATCTGCTCGCGTGCAACTCAATATTAGTATCGCCCAAGCCTTCGATACCCGCACTCTTCCTCTTCCATCGTGCCACCCTTGAGGGTCATCTTCTTTACCCGCCACGTGTACTTAGCGCGGCCCCGAAAAACATGAAAACACGTGTCAAGGGGGCGCCGCCCGCCCCTCTGTTAGTGTCCGCCCCTTGGACACATGTTTCCATATGTTTTAGGGGCCGCGCTAATTGCACGTGGCAGGTAAAGAAGATGGCCCCCAAGGGTGGCACGATGGAATGGGAAGAGGGCGGGTATCGAAGGTTTGGGCTATATATATATATATATATATATATAGATTCAATGGCCCGCGATCAGATAAGAGCGAACAAATTTCAAATTGTTCTAGTTTCCGAAATGGCGATTGTTGTTGATCCCCCCTATCTCTGGTGCACGTTGTGCTTTTTGATTAAAGTGCCCCTCCGGGGGCTCGCACCCTAGCTTTTGCAAGGGAAGGTCTTGAGCTCCCGATGGTGTTTTTGGCCCCCGTTTGACAACAACATCAACCGCTCCCGCCTGACACGTGTTCACAATTTATCCAACATCGCGTTCTCGCCTGAGACATCCCCACAATATAATCATCCAGGAATCGTGCTCTCGCGTGGGACTTCTTCAATTGATTCAGACGGGCGGGTCGGGCGGGCGGACCCTAACGGGCGGGTCGGCAGGTCTTCAGCAGTGTTCCTTGAGTGAGGACTATGTGTTAAGGTTCTCTAAGTTTGGGTTCTTCATTCAGTTTCCCTTGGTTGGGATTATTTAGCAAGGTGTTCTCAGCAAGGGTTCTTTATCCATATTCCTTAGTAAGGATTCTGCAATCAGGTTCCTTGTGGTCAGGAGTACGTATTCTCTTAGTAAGGATTCTTCAGTAAGGTTTCCTGGGTAAGGATTATTTAAGCATATTCTCATACAGCGAGGATTCTTCAGCAATATTCCCGTAGCAAGGATTCGTGACTCGGGTTTTTCCGTAAGAATTCTTCAGGCGAGGTTTTTCGTTGGCGGCGGCGGCCTCGCGTGTGTTCGAGGAGGAGGAGGAGGAGCAGCAGCAGCAAGATGGGGAGGAGGTAAACGCGCGGAGGGTGGGAGGTTCAGGGGTAGGATGAAGAGTGCGAGGGGGTATGATCAGGAGGGAGAGGAGGGGGGATGCGGAAGAAGAAGAAGGAAGGGAGTAGCAGGAGGGCAGAGGAGGAGAAGGAGGAGGAGGAGAAGGATCAGCTCAACTGGTCCGCTGTCGCGCAGCCTCGATGGCGTGAGCCCCAGGAGGGAATCCAGAGATTCCAGTTCACCGTCGAGGACATCGGGCGCAGGTTGGAGGGGCGACTGTGAGAATGAGGGTGGCTGGATGGAGGGGGTGCAGGAGGATGAAGGCGAGGACTTGGTATCGCTCGGGCGTGTGCATTTTGTCTCGGCGAGGATCATCGGGGAGCATCTTTGATCACCTTGCGACAAAATGCACGCACGAAACCGAAACATGCACGGGGAAGGGACGTCCGAGCGATGGCAAGAGGAGGGCTGGGGTCTGGGTGGAAACGGGCCGGGTGCTGGGACTGGAGAGGGGGAAGGGAAAAGACGAGGGAGGCTTTGGAGTGACGGGAGGAGCGGAGTTGGGGGGAGCGGAATGGAACGCAGTGGCGTGGAAGGGGGAGGAGAGAGAAGAGAAAGGAGGAGAAAAAGAAGAAGAAGGAAACGAACATACGAGAGGAGGGGAGGAGATACGTGGTGGCAGGTTACTTGCGTTCCGAGAGGTCCTATCCCTCCCGCTCGTCCTGTCCAATCCCGTTTCTCGTGTCTTATTCGCTTCGGGCTTTGCCGCTTTGCCCCCTCGATGGCAGTAGGTTTGCCTGATCCGTCGTCTACTGTACGGACGGGGAGGGGTCATACAGGACCAGCAAGCGCGCGGGGAGGTCGGTTGACGTCTGGGTGGAGGGGCACCCGCAAACATCAACAATTGCGATGCACAAACATGCATGGTATTGTCAATCACTGTCGATGCCTCAGATGGACTAATTCGTAGCGGAGGAGGAAGACAGCAGGAGGGAGTATGGAGGAAACAGCGGGACGCGAGAAGCAGGAGGATCTTGAAGGGGACGAGGGAGGAGGGGGAGGGAGGAGGCAGGAGGGAAAGTCAGATCAGGAGAAGTTCGAACGAGGTCGAATGGTGAAGACAGGAAGGGATACGGTTCAGGGTGTTGCCTGCTGCCACCTGTGGGGGAGCGTGGGCCCCAAGGTTACGGTGGCCCGCCGCTGGCCACAGTCCAGGATGGCATAGGGATAACGATCGTGAGATGGAGGGGAGCGATACGTACACGAAGTAGTTGTAGAGGGGCATGCGCTGAGTTGTCTTGAGGAGCGCCCTTGAGGCTCGACTCTTCTGCACATGGTGCTGCAGGAATGTTACAGGCGTCGTGGCGAGATTCCTTTTCCGAACAGCAGAACATGCACGTTCTTAACCACCACGGGAGGCATCCTGCGCACATACGGGAGGAAATTGCCAAATTCATCATCATCATCATCATCATCATTGGGGAAACGATTGTGTAGCCGTAGTAGCACCAGCAGCAGGATCAGGAATAGCAGCAGCAGTTAGTAGTAGTAGTAGTAGTAGTAGTCGTCGTCGTCGTCGTCGTCGTCGTCGTCGTCGTCGTCATCGTAGCAGTAGTAGTAGTCGTCGTCGTAGTAGTAGTAGTAGTAGTCGTAGTAGTAGTAGTAGTAGTAGTAGTACTACTACTACTAGTAGTAGTAGGAGTAGTAGTAGTACAATAGTAGGAGTCGTAGTCGTAGCCGTAGTCGTACTCGTAGTCGTAGTAGTGGTAGTCGTAGTATCAGTAGTAGTAGTAGTAGTAGTAGTAGTAGTAGTAGTAATAGTAGTAGTAGTAGTAGTAGTAGTAGTAGTCGTAGTAGTAGTAGTAGTAGTAGTAGTAGTGTAGTAGTCGTAGTAGTAGTAGTAGTAGTAGTAGTAGTAGTAGTAGTAGTAGTAGTGGTAGTAGTAGTAGTAGTAGTACTACTACTAGTAGTAGTAGTAGTAGTAGTAGTAGAAGAAGTAGTAGTAGTCGCAGCCGTAGTAGTAGTAGGGTTAGTCGTAGTAGTATTAGATGTAGTAGTAAGTAGTAGTAGTAGTAGTAGTAGTAGTAGTAGTAGTAGTAGTAGTAGTAGTAGTAGTCGTAGTCGTAGTAGTAGTAGTCGTAGTAGTAGTAGTAGTAGTAGTACTAGTAGTAGTAGTGGTTGCAATTGTAGCAGCAGTAGTAGTAGTAGTAGTCGTCGTCGTAGTAGTCGTAGTAGTAGTAGTAGAAGCAATAGTAGTAGTAGTAGTAGCAGCAGTAGTAGTAGTAGTAGTAGCCGTCGTATGTATAGCAGCAATAGTAGTTGTAGTAGCAGTAGTAGTAGTAGTAGTAGTAGTAGTAGCAGTCGTAGTAGTCGTAGTATGAGAAGTAGTAGTAGCAGTAGTAGTAGGAGCAGTAGCAGTAGTCGTAGTAGTAGTCGTAGTAGTAGTAGTAGTCGTAGTAGTAGTAGTAGTAGTAGTAGTAGTAGTAGTAATAGTAGTGGTAGTAGTAGTAGTAGTAGTAGTAGTAGTACTAACGATAGCTGGGGTAGTAGTAGTATTAGTAGTAGTACTACTACTACATAGTACGAAGTTGTAGTAGTGGTAGTAGTAGTAGTAGTAGTAGCAGTAGCAGTAGTAGTAGTAGTAGTAGTAGTAGTAGTAGTAGTAGTAGTAGTAGCAGCAGTAGTAGTAGTAGTAGTAGTAGTCGTAGTCGTAGTCGTAGTCGTAGTAGTAGTAGTAGCAGTAGTAGTAGTAGTAGTAGTAGCAGCAGTAGTAGTAGTAGTAGTAGTGGTAGTGGTAGTGGTGGTAGTAGTAGTAGCAGTAGTAGTAGTAGTAGTAGTAGTAGTAGTATTCGTAGTAGTAGTATTCGTAGTAGTAGTAGTAGTAGTAGTAGTAGTAGTAGTAGTAGTAGTAGTAAGGCCACCCTTCTTTTTATGGCCGGAAGCGTCCCGCCCATCTATGGCCTGCTATTGTGTAGGGCCAGCAATATTGGTATATGGAAACGAATACAAAGTACTAGTAAGTCACACGTGGCTTATGGCAGGATTTACATGCGCCACGCGATGTTCAAGGACCCCCGAGGAATCCAAGGGAAATCCGAAAGAATCTGGAGCGCCTCCGAGGAATCCACAAGGTTCCCCAGAATTCGGTGAAACCTAAACATGTCCTAAAGACTTCTGGGGGCTTCCGAAGGGGGCTGAAAATGTGTGAGGGCCTCCGAGGGGCTTCCAAACGGTTCCGAGCGGCTTATGAGGGTTGCTGCAAAGCCACTGAGAGTTTCCGAGAAGCCTCTGCGAGCCTCCGAGAGGCCTAGAGAATTCTTGAAGAGGTTTCTCAAAGTCCCCGAAAGGCTGTTGAAACACCCCGGCGAGCTTCTAAGAGCTTCCCAGAGGTTTCTGCAATTTTTTGAGAGGCCTTGATTGCTTTCGAGTGAGCCTTGATGCTCCCGAAGGGATTTCTGTGAGCTCCCCAAGAGGTATCTGAGACGTCCCGAGCCATCTCCGAGAGATCTCCGGAAGCTCCAGAGAGGCCTCTGAGATTTCCCGAGAGGCCTCTGGGATCGTCCGAGAGGCCTCTGAGATTTCCCGAGACCCCTTCTGAGAGCGTCCGAGGGCTTCTGGTAGCCGAGAGGCTCTTGATAACCCAACACACAACACACAACACGCACAACACACAACACACACGCACACACATTTCACACAACACACAACACACAACACACAACACAACACGCACAACACACAACGCACAAACCTACACAACACACAACACACAACGCACCAGACGCAACACACCACGCACAACGCACCAAGGGCCAGCAGGGCTTCACCCTGTTTTAGCAGAGGCTAGCAGAGTTTAGCGGTGCGAAGCATGGTTTACCAGAGCTTGCAGGGCCTAGCAGAGCACAGCAGAGCGCTGCAGGGCCTAGCAGAGCACACCAGGGCGCAGCAGGGCTTACCAGGGGTTACCAACGCTTGTAGCAAAGCTTACCAGAGCTCAGCAGGTGTCAGCAGGACTTGGCAGGGCTTCGCGGGGCTGCGCAAGGCTCAGCAGATCTGAGCAGAAGTTCCCGGTTCTGTGGTTTCCGATTGGTGCCCTATAAGTTTTCCAGGAATCCATTGTATTTTTTTTAAATTTCGTTAGGAAGGCATGTGATTGGATTCGGATCGACTTCTTGCTAAATTGTCTCATTGCATGTCTTATTGAATTCCTAGGAAGTCTTTCTATTGCAGTTACAATTGGATGCCAATACGAATGCTTCCTATTTAAGCCAAAATCAAACCCAAACTCGAACTTCCCAGGACATTAATCAAATGTGTCCCTAGTGGTAGCAGTGGTAGTGGTAGTAGTACTAGTGGTAGTAGTAGTAGTAGTAGTAGTAGTAGTAGTAGTAGTAGTAGTAGTAGTAGTGGTAGTAGTAGTAGTAGTAGTAGTCGTCGCAGTCGTAATAGTAGTCGTGGTCGTAGTGGTGGCCGTAGCATTAGTAGTAGTAGTAGTAGTAGTAGTAGTAGGAGAAGGAGTAGTAGTAGTAGTAGTAGTAGTAGTAGTAGTAGTAGTGGTAGTAGTAGTAGTAGTAGTAGTACCAGTAGTAGTACCAGTAGTAGTAGCAGTAGTAGTAGTAGTAGTACCAGTAGTAGTAGCAGTAGTAGTAGTAGTAGTAGTAGTAGTAGTAGTAGTAGTAGTAGTAGTAGTAGTAGTAGTAGTAGTAGCGTAGTAGTAGTAGTAGTAGTAGTAGTAGTAGTAGTAGTAGTAGTAGTAGTAGTAGTAGGTAGTCAGTAGTAGTAGTAGTAGTAGTAGTAGTAGTAGTAGTAGTAGTAGTAGTAGTAGTAGTAGTAGTAGTAGTAGTAGTAGTAGGTAGTAAGTAGTAGTTAGTAGTAGTAGTAGTATAGTAGTAGTTAGTACTAGTAGTAGTAGTTAGTAGTAGTAGTCCCAGTAGTAGTAGTAGTAGTAGTAGTAGTAGTAGTAGTAGTAGTAGTAGTAGTAGTAGTAGTAGTAGTAGTAGTAGTAGTAGTAGTAGTAGTAGTAGTAGTAGTAGTAGTAGTAGTAGTAGTAGTAGTAGTAGTAGTAGTAGTAGTAGTAGTAGTAGTAGTAGTAGTAGTAGTAGTAGTAGTAGTAGTAGTAGTAGTAGTAGTAGTAGTAGTAGTAGTAGTAGTAGTAGTAGTAGTAGTAGTAGTAGTCGTAGTAAGTAGTAGTCTAGTAGTAGTAGTCGTAGTAGTAGTAGTAGTAGTAGTAGTAGTAGTAGTAGTAGTAGTAGTAGTAGTAGTAGTAGTAGTAGTAGTAGTAGTAGTAGTAGTAGTAGTAGTAGTAGTAGTAGTAGTAGTAGTAGTAGTAGTAGTAGTAGTAGTAGTAGTAGTAGTAGTAGTAGTAGTAGTAGTAGTCGTAGTCGTAGTCGTAGTAGTAGTAGTAGTAGTAGTAGTAGTAGTAGTCGTACCACTACTAATCAGAGTAGTAGCAGTAGTAGTAGCAGTCGTAGTAGTAGTAGTAGTCGTAGTAGTAGTAGTAGTAGTAGTAGTACACTAGTACTAGTAGTAGTAGTAGTTGTAGTAGTAGTAGTAGTAGTAGGAGTAGTAGTAGTAGTAGTAATAGTAGTAGTAGTAGTAGTAGTAGTAGTACTAGTACTAGTAATCGTACTAGTAGTACTAGTAATACCAGTAGTAGTAGTAGTAGTAGTAGTAGTAGTAGTAGTAGTAGTAGTAGTAGTAGTAGTAGTAGTAGTAGTGGTAGTAGTAATATAGAAAACCCAGGCCCCATACAAGAACTCATTTCCATCGAGATAAGTGCCCCGCTGAAAGGGACCACATTTGGATTTTCTTGAAGCGTTTTGTATCACTTTTCTCGGAACGCTAGCGTCTTGACTGTCGCATCTTGGCGATGCCGACTCGTGCCAAAACACCGTTACAGGGACTCCAACACCGTGGATCAATGCTACCTATTGCGACGTGACCACCGCGAATCAATCCAAAAGACTTCTGTGGTACACCAACCACGTGCGTCCGCTAAATTCCTGCAGCTTTTGAAATCGAATGCGCGCGGCGGTAAGGCGACAATCAGATTCTCAAGAGGAGCCGCCCTCAATCCGTGAATATCCTGAGCGATATCAGGACGAATGCACGCGGCGCTCAGTCGAGAGCCACATTTTGGCAACCAGCCGCCATCAATCAGCGAAGCTCTTGCAAATTTGTAAGACGAGTGCGCGCGTCGCTAAAGCGAAAACCACATTTTGACATCCACCCGCCTTCAGTCCGTGAAACTTTTGCAAGGCTTTGAAACGAATGCGCGGCAATAAAGCGAGAGCCATAGTTTGAAAACCACCCGCCCTCCATGTGTGAAACGGCTCACATTACGTAAATTTCAGGGTCGTAAGCGGTGAGGAAGTCTCACGCGGAATGCCCGGCCCGCCTTTTCGACCGGCGCCGGGGTGCGTCAGGGAGGAGTTAGTTAAATGGAAAAGGAATGCAGGGGGTGGAGGAGGAGGAGGGGGAGGGGAACGAGGAGGAGGAAGAGGAGGAGGAGGACGAGGAGGACCAGTGCAAACCAAAAACCCATCGACGATGTAGGAATACCCCCCCCTCCAAGCCCCAAGCTCCCTCTCCATACGTCCCTACAGTGCTTCGTTTCCACTGACGGATGACGGGAAGCGCCCCTGGCGTGGACCGTTTGTTGGTGGTAAAAGTTGATTATCGGGTACGCGCCGCATTTTGAAACTGCGCTGGCGGATTTTTGAAAAATGGCCGTTTCTCTGGAGGTATCCTCCAAACATCGGCCCAAGAGGGGACTCCACATCGACGTCGTGTTCGAATCGCTCTTGGAGTGTTTTCCAACGGCCCAAGAGAGGCCCAAAAGACGCCTTGGAGAGCCCCAGGAAGACCCCAAGAGAACCCCAAGACGGCCCAAGAAGGGCCAAGAAGGCCCCAAGAGACTCCCGGGAGCGTCCCAGGAGGCCTCCAGCGCCGAGACGGCCTAAGAAAGCTCCCACAGAACCCCACGACGCGCCCACACAGCCCAAGAAGACCCCAGAAGCCCATACGAGGACCCAAGGGGCCCCCAAGAAGCCCCCAACAGGCCCCAAGAGAACCCCGCGGGGCGCCAGGAGCAACGTCTTTCTCCAATTGCCTCGTACTGTCCTCTGTCGTCGTCGTCGTCGTCGTCGTCGTCGTGGTCGTCGTCATTATCGCCCTCCGCATTCCTCCTCGTACTCGCCCTCGTTCTCTTCGTCCTCGTCCTTGTGCTTCTCTTCCTCGTTGTCCTCATGCTCCGCCTCGCTATCCTCACGTTCGCCACGTCGTCCTCGTCATCGACTCCTCGTTGTCCTCGCCTTCCTTTTCTTCTTCGCCCAATACGCCCATTTGACTACAGCGGCGATTCCCGTTCTTGTCCGATCAGGTTTGCCCCGTTGGTGAACAATTGTTTGGAAATTCCCAAGCGTGACCAATGATTTTCAGGACTTCACGCCACGGATCAACCTGAATGCTGCGTTTCGAAAATCCTGAATCGCATTTGAACACGATTCGTCAGACTTCAACACAGCGAATCAACGTAAGTGTTGGCCCCGGCAGCCATGCGTCGTTTCAAAGCACTTGTTTTGGTATGCTAGCCTTGAGAACCAGTGGAAAAACGGCAAAGTGTTGAAATGCATGTGCGCGGCGCTATGGCGAAAACAACCTGTTGAAAAGGAACCGCCCTCAATGCGCGAAGTTCTTGCACATGTTTTAAACGAATGTCCTCGGCGCTAAGGCGAGACAAGGAGCCGCCTTCGATCCGCAACACTCTTTGCAGATGTTTAAAACGAATGTCCGCGGCGCTCAGGCCAGAGCCACATTATGAAAAGGAACTGTTCTCAATTCGTGAAACTCTTGAAATGTTGTGCGACGAATGCGTGCGGCGCTAAAGCGCGAGCCACATTTGAAGAGGAGCCGGCCTCCATCCATGAAGCTCTTGCAAATACTGGAAAAGAATGTGCGCGACACTAGGGCGAGAGCCACATAGTGAAAACCGAATATGCGAGGCGCTAAGATGCGAACCACATTTTGAAAACCACCCGCTCTCAATCCTAAGATCATTTCTGCTATTTTTGGAAAGCGAATGTGCGCGGCGCCGAGGCGAGAGCAATATAAAAAATAACGACCAACCCTCAATCCGCGAAGCGCCTCCGTGCAGATGTTTAAAACGAATGTCCGCGGCGCTCAGGCCAGCGCCACATTATGAAAAGGAGCCGCTCTCAATCCGTGAAACTCTTGAAATGTTGTGCGACGAATGCGTGCGGCGCTAAAGCGCGAGCCACATTTGAAAAGGAACCGCACTCAATCCATGAAGCTCTTGCAAATACTGAAAAAGAATGTGCGCGACACTAGGGCGAGAGCCACATAGTGAAAACCGAATATGCGAGGCGCTAAGATGCGAACCACATTTTGAAAACCACCCGCTCTCAATCCTAAAATCATTTCTGCTATTTTTGGAAAGCGAATGTGCGCGGCGCCGAGGCGAGAGCAACATTCAAAAAACTACCAACCTTCAATCCGCGAAGTGCTTGTAAATATTTGAAGCGAATGTGCGCGGCGCTAGGGCGAGAGCCGCATTGTGGAAGCGACCCGCCTTCCATCTGTGAAGCTGTTACCAGCTTTACAGCTTGAGGCTCAGACGTGGTATGGGCGTCTCAGGCGAAACGCCCAGACCGCCCCCCCACTGGCCTCGGGGTGCGACAGGGAGGAGTTATTCATAATGAAAAGCAATGGAGGAGGCGGAGGAGCAGGAGGAGGAGGAGGAGGAGAAGGTGGAGGAGGAGGAGGAGGAGGAGCAGGAGGAGGAGGAGGAGGCGAAGCACCGCTGATGTCCCCCCCAGTGCGGCGGTCCATGCCCGCGGTCGCAGCCGCCATCGCTCTCGGTGCCTCTGGGACGCCCGCTTCGGTGAGACTTCATGCTGCCCACCACCTCCGCTCTGCTCAACCGGTGCCCGTCGTGGGCCGTGGATGGCCTGGATGCTGGCTTCCGTGGCAGTCGCGGATGCGTCGCGCGAGGTAGGCCGTGCGCATTGGTCAGATCTTTGAGCGGGGTCTCGTGAATCTGCGACAGCACCCAGGTCGGGCACCGCCAGTGTCTTGTAGGGGCGGCCATCAGGGAGTCGGAGGGCGCCAATTACACACCTACACCGATCCTGGACAGGCCGATCCTGGGCTCCTATGTCACAACGTCGCCCCCCAGAGGTCGGGACGCCTTCCTTGGAATTGTTTTTTCGTCTTGAGCCTTTTTTGTTGATATTCCTGGGGCCTGGCGAAGGCTCAAAACAGCTAAAAATTGCCCGTTGTGCTTTTTCCACGACGGGTCCATGTCTGGGTCTGTTTCTCCTCTGACCGTTCCTTGCCCCGCACTGGGGCGCGCGCGGACGGCGGGTCGGGCAGGGTGCGATGGCGTTCGCGGTGTGGGCGCGCAGCGCCTGCGCGGTGGTCCCGACCGCCTCGAGGGCAGTGCGCGCGCGAGCAGTGGGCGTGTTTCCTCTTCCGCCGCCAGCCCCGCTCGGCCTCGGTGTTCTTCTGCTCTCTGTTCTCGGCGGCGAGCCCCGGGGGGAAGTGAGAAGGGGCGCGCCTTCTCAGAAGGCCCGGATGTCCCCCGGCCCTCTGAGAAGTTTCCTCGGCCTTCCCCGCAGGCACAGACAACTCTTCGGAAGGCGCGAGGGCCTCTGAGGAGCCCCGCCGCCTTCTGAGACGGTCTTCTCCTTCTCGCTTCCCCCCCCTCGCTCGCCGCCGAGTAGAGCCGCCTCCGTGCTCCGAGGCACGAGCTGGGGTGTCCTCGGGGCGGGCCCCTGCGAGTTCTCTGTGTCGAGTGCTGCAGATGTGCTTTGATCAGGAGGGGAAAAAATACACACAGACACAATTAATCGTCGATTCCCCAGAAAATATTGGAAAATGTAGGAAGTGGGGGGGAATACAAAAGCCCAGAAAATATATGAAAATATAGGGAATCCTGTGATTTGTGTGTATTCATTTGTGTGTCCCAGGGCCCCTTCATTTGAGGGGCTTCTGAGAAGTCCCGCCGCTTTCTGAGACGGTCTTCTCCTTCTCACTTCCCCCTTGCTCGCCGCCGATGTTCGGCCCCTGGCCGCGAGCGGGCGGCAGTACGGGGAGGAGGTGGGCTCGAGCGGGGTGCCCGCCGGAGGACGCGGGGCCGCTGGGCCTGCGGTTCTCGGGCGGCTCCCCGCCGCTCATCCTCGCGGTGAAGCCGGGCACGCCGGCCGCAAGCAAGCGGGTGCCCGAGAACTTCGAGGCCAGGGTCGAGGGGGGGGGGAGGGACGGATCGAGGCGTTTCTCACCACCCACCGAGCCAACCCAGCCCAACCCGAAGGTTTCAACTTGCCTTCCATTTCCAGTGTGAGGGGGGTCGGGGGACATGGACAACGAAACGTTCGAACCCGTACCCCCCCAACCCGAAATTCAGGTCTTCGGGTTGGGTTGGGGTGGTATGGTAGGTAGTCAGTTTCTGGGGTGCGGCCAAGAGGGTGGAGATGACTAGGGCAGGGCTCGAGTTAAGCGGTGTTTTGGCGATTTCGTGGACCGTTGTCGCTTTGAATTCGTTTTGCAGCAAGGACGGAACGAAGACAGAACGATGGAAAGCGAAGTCATATCGAAAACAGAAAGCAGTGTTTAGTTCGAGCCCCGGGCAAGTGGCGGGTGGGCATCATGGCGGGGCCGCCCGGATGTCATGGCCTCCTCACATGATTTCAATACGTCCTTTGGCGCCCCCCCCCAGAGCCGCGCACGTGCCTCGGGCCATAATTTGGGACCCCCCTCTTCGACGCCCCCCTCTTGGACACCCCCGATGTTTCAGAGGAGGCGTAAGATTCCGATGCCGCTACCCTTCCCTTGCCTTCACTGCTGGATCCTGCTTGACATTCTGGTCAGAGCGCACGCCTGGTAAGGTCTGAGGAGTAGCGGTACGGTAACTGTATGTTTCTCCGGTATTTGAATTGTTTTGGTTATAATGTCCTAAACGAGTGAGCTCCAAGAGCCTCGGGAACCCACCCACCCAACCCCCAAGCCGCCACCCAGCGGCGAGGGGAAGGACAGGGAAACGGACAGGTCCCAAGACATCGGGTCAGGCGGAATTCTAGTGGCGAGGCGAAGCCTCCGAGCGAATTAAAGAAGCAACGTCACTCAGACATCAATCTCGTTTTTCGGCAAACCGCGATATGACCAAAGCCATGATCTCATCACTGCAGTTCGTGACGTGCTGCAGTGTTCACTCCACAAAACAAGATAACTCCAGTCATTGCAAGAAATCCTGATGAAACTCGAGGCCTCGCCAAATATGAGAAAATCCTACATCTTCCCCATTAAGGGGGGGGGGCGGGCCCGAAAAGCTGCGGAGTGACGTTTGCAACAAGAGCTAGCTGGACCGAACACACTATACATTAAAACCCGTTCGTTGAAAATCTCACTTCATCATAATTTCCTAAACGAGTGAGCTCCAAGAGCCTCGGGAACCCACCCACCCAACCCCCAAGCCGCCACCCAGCGGCGAGGGGAAGGACAGGGAAACGGACAGGTCCCAAGACATCGGGTCAGGCGGAATTCTAGTGGCGAGGCGAAGCCTCCGAGCGAATTAAAGAAGCAACGTCACTCAGACATCAATCTCGTTTTTCAGCAAACCGCGATATGACCAAAGCCATGATCTCATCACTGCAGTTCGTGACGTGCTGCAGTGTTCACTCCACAAAACAAGATAACTCCAGTCATTGCAAGAAATCCTGATGAAACTCGAGGCCTCGCCAAATATGAGAAAATCCCACATCTTGATGAAATGGCTCTGAAACTTGCCAAACTCCGCTGGTGAACTCCTCCCTCATGGCTTTGAACTCAGAGCCGATACCCGCATGCGTGCAGAAGCCAATCGAGGTGGGAGGAAATGAAACGGCCGAGGCGGAACCACATGGGCGGGCGAGCGGTGGGCACCTGCAATATCTCCTGAGCTGAGAGCGGCCGCCGCATGATGCTCGCGTCGCCGGCAGTCTCGATAGTATCTAGGACTCGAGACGTGATGCGCTCTAGCTCGGACCCCGGATCGGCCCCAGTCAACGCCCAATGTGGATTGGCCCACTGCAAGTCAAACCCAAGTCGTGCAAAGTAATATCTGACTGCCAGGATCTCCTGCTCCACGAGCATCACCTCCCAGTCCTAAATGAAAAAGCTCTCCGTGAAATTGAACTGGGAGGAGGTCCTGGCCGACACCGGCGCTCGAGCGGACACCCCATCGATGGCGGCCCACAGCTCCTCTGCCACCTCTGCAGGAAGTGTCCGGTTCGGGCCGGTTCGGCGACGGACCGGTTCGGCTGCAGCGGTTCGATTTCGGCGCCAGTCCGGTTTTGGTCGGTCCGGTTTTGCCAGTCCGGGTCGGTTATGCCGGTTCGGTTCGGCGGTCGCGGGACGGTCCGGTTTTGGGGGGGCCGGTTTTGGGCCGGAGGATCAGAAGGAGGAGGAGGAGTGAGGAGGAGGAGGAGGAGGTTTAGGAGGTGGGCGAGGAGCGAGGTGCCAGGAGCGCGGAGCGAGGAGGCTCGCGCGCCCATCGGCTCCGCGCCCGGCGAGGTGCCTCGCTGCAGTCGTCGTCGCCGTCGTCGTCGTCGTCGTCGTCGTCGTCGTCGTCGTCGTCGTCGTCGTCGTCGTCGTCGCCGCCGTCGTCGTCGTCGTCGCCGCCGTCGTCGTCGTCGTCGGGCGCCCCCGGACCTCTCGGCCCCTTCCCTCATGCCGCTCTTCCCCTCGTCTCCGCGGCCCCGGGGCCGGAAAACGCGGGCCTCCGGGGGCCCGGAGAGGAGGGCGGGGTTCGGCCGCCTGGAGCTGCAATTGCCGCCTGGAGGAGGAGGGAGGAGGAGGAGGAGGAGGAGGAGGAGGAGGAGGAGGAGGAGGAGGAGGAGGAGGAGGAGGAGGAGGAGGAGGAGGGAGGAGGGGGTCCTCGCCTCCCCCCCCGCGCCCTGCTGCACCCCCGAGGGGGGTGCGGCAACCGGGGGGGGGGTGCCGGCACCGGGGGGGGGGTGCCGGGCCGGGGGGGGGGGGGGGCCGGCGCCGGGGGGGGGGGGGCGGCACCCGGGGGGGGGGGTGCCGGCACCGGGGCTCTTCTGGGGGCTTTCTTGGGCCGGTGGGGAGTCCCGGGACCCGGTTCGGTTCCACCCGGTTCGGGCTTGCCGTTCGGGCCGGTTTCGACCGGCCGGTTCGGTTCGAACCGCCCGGTCCGGTTTCAGCCAGTCCGGTTCGGGCTCCGGTTCGGGCGGTTCGGTTGCAGGAGCCGCCGGTTCACGGTTACCAGTTCGGTTCGGACTCTTCTTGCTCCGGGGGGACCACACCTCGGCCGCGCTCCAGCTCGGCCATCATGTCGGGCCTGGAGCGCGCGCCGATGTCGACGACGAAGCGGCCGCCAGCGACGTGCAGGCGGCGCACCGACCCCGGACCAGGCCTCGTCCACAAAATTTGCTGAATTGCGCGCAGCCGACAACACCACGCTGCTCACCGCCATGGTAAAATTTCTGGCCGCGAGCGCCACTGCTCCACCAGCTCCCGCCACGTCCTCCACCAGATGGGCTGCAGCGTCAGCGCTCCGGGTGAAATTGGGGAACACGCTCGCTGGAAACACGACGAAGAGCGCGACCAGGACGATGAGCGGGCAGAAACAAGGGCCCAAAGCGGGCCTGACAACCTTACAGAAGCCTGCAATCGCCTTGACCCGCGACCCCTTGGCCACTCGTGTCGCTGGAGCCCTGACCCCCTGCGGGACGAACTTCAAGCCGCCCGGGATGATGTGCCCCGCCGCCTCCGTCGGCACTGCAGCCAGTGTCGTAGACGGCGGAGGCGTACCCGGGGACGTAGCCGACGGCGGGGTGAAAACCTTGACGGGGCCTGGCGGCGTGGCTGCTCGAGAGGCCCCCGACGACGCTGGCGACTGGATCTGCATCCAGCTTCCCGGCGTTCCAGGGGTCTGCGGCAGCGGCGACACGTTCTCGGGCAAGGCCTGCGGCCATCCCCACTGGCCCGTGTTCCTGTCCCTGACCATCCCCTTGGGCGCCATACTGCGGAGCCGAGCTGACGTCGAAAACCGAAGCTGGAAAGTACTGGATCCAACCCCTCTTGAGCCAGTACAACTGCTGTGCGAAGCCCCTCGTGTTGAGCTGCGTTAATATGTGACTGGCTCCGGCGATGTCTAAATAAATCCTCAAACTCGCGTCCCAAATCCACCTTCCTCTCTCGCGCACCTCCTCAAAGGACAGCCCTTCTGCTCGACTATCACTGGCCCATCCTGCCCTGGGGCTGTGAGGCCCCCATCCCGCAGACAGGCCCAACGAGGCCTCCACCTCCTTCATCAGCTTCCTGTAACGAGCCAAAGTGTAGGGGAACAGCGGGGCGCCAGCCGGGGTAGCCTTGGTGATAGCCTCTAACACGTCCATGATGTCCCTGTCCTCCTGGAAGATGCGAGCGACCTGGGGCCTCTTGAGCTTGGTCCCTGTTCGAGGGGCCAGTGCGATAGAAGCCGCAGCGTTGTTCGCCCCCTCCCCCAGATCCCTCGGGAAGATGATGTCATCCGGTAGCATGCCCAGTAGCTCTGAAGGCCGAAGACCCGTGTGGCACTGGAGGATGATGCCGAAATCCAAGCGGGGGTGTCCTCTGGAGGCTAGGTGAACTCCAAGGAGCTTGCCAGGATTCTTACCGAGCGGAGTCGTGTGTTTACGATCTGTGTTCCGCTCCCACCCTGAGATAACCGCTCGACCCCGCAACAACTTATTTTTCATCCTCGGAAAGAAGAACTCAACCGAGGACACGATGTTGATAAACTTTGCTGGCGTGAGATGCTCATACTGATCATTTTTGAACTCTACCAAAAGATCGTCCCACTGGTCTGGACCGCTGGGACGCAGGCCGCGCTGCAGCGCCCATGTCGAAAATCTGAGCGCGGCAGCACGGTACACTTCGAGAGTCTTCTCGGTGACTCTCGCAGCCTGGTCAGGGTCGAGCCGACGTGGCCCCGCCTGGGCCAGGCTGCTTCCTCCGGGACAGCGTATCTGCTGATTGATGTGCGGTGTCCACCCATGGTAAGTATAGACTGATGCTCATAGCCACTGAGAGTGCGTTGATCTTCCTCAACAGGTAGTTGAGGTGTGGGGCAGACGACCTCCCCTTCGCCACCGCTGCTGCAAGTGGTGCGTTGTCCTCCATGCTGCAGATGGCGTGGCCGCGCGCTCCGGGCAAGAGCGACAGGCCCTGACAGAGTCTGACCACGGCCCGACCCTCGCCCAGGATGATGTGATCGGGCCCCTTCCACCTGCCTGCATCCAGGTCTCTCCACATGCCCTGAGGGATCTGCAGCAGCTCGCGCGGGATGCGCGACACCGGGATGCGCCCTCGAAGCTCGCGATCCCTTGATGACGTCCTCGGCCTCCTGGACCGAGATGCTGGTGCCCACTATCCCGCATCCTCCGTGGTCGTCCCGATTAGCTCCTTCCGCATCGGAGGCAAACAGGACTGGAGCCGCGGGCAAATCCAGCGAGCGCGTCATGAGCGGGATCACGACTCTCATGGCACGCACCTCCCTCTTCACCGAGACCCACCACCTGGCGACCTGCCCCTGCCTCTTCTCCAAGAAGTCGAAGACGGCGGCAGGGATGGACATGAGCTCCCGGCGCAGCAGAGCCCCCCCGCAGCCAGACGCCAACGAGGGCCCGCAGCAGCTCGACGTCCACCAGCGGCGCATCCAGGATCCACGCGAGCCCCGCCTCCAAGTAGCTGGCCTTGGCACTCGCCAGCTCCAGGCGGGGCGGGAAGTTCTGCAGCTCGTAGCCCGCGATCTTGTTCCCCTCCGAGACCTCCTCGCGCTCCGTCACCACGAAGCCAGCCTGCTCCCACGCGTCGGCCACCTGGGTCATCATCTCCCAGCTCTCCTGCCGCGCGGAGCCACCCTTCGGCGAAGCAGCCGAACACAGCCCATCGTCCACGTGCACGTAGATCGCGCGGACACCCGGCTTCAAGCAGACTGCTCCGCCCTTGCAGTACTGTTCATTCATCACAAAGAGCCCTGCACCGTCGCCTTCCACACTCCATTGAGAATGTCGGGGCCTCTCACGGCCCGTGCGGAGCCATCCTCCAGGACCCCTCCCCGAGATTAGTAGCCTGTGCGCCGTCCTGACCACACTCAGCGCGATCATGCGGCACAGCCCTGGGGGGTACGCCTGGAGCCGCCTCGACCTGAAGATGCCCAGCTTGTTCTTGCCGTAAGCCCGCTCATGCCGATGTTGGCCGTCGCAAAGTAGGGCCTGATTTCCTATCCCGTCCAAGTTCGAGGCCAACGAGGTCGGCTTCTGCGACGGCCCTCCGTACATGCACTGATCGATCTTCACCAGCTTCAGCCCGTGCCGCTCCAACATGCCCTTGACTGCGTCCAGGTCCCAGATGCTCGGCATGGGCTCAACCTCCGGGTCCGAGGGGCGCTCCCCTAGGTAGCCGCCCCCGTACCGCTCGATGAGGTCGCACAGCGCCAGGAAGTTGAAGAGTAGCACGTTGGCCTCCCCCACCCGCTCCCTCTCGGCAATCGTTAGATCTGGCCGTCCGAGGGGGTGATGACGAAAGCGCAAGGGCCTGGGGCCCCCCGGCTGGAACCTAGCTCGGCTCCACGTAGCACAGGGAGGGGCCCCCAACAGGATAACTATCAGGCCATCTTCTATCATCTCGTGCAGCATCGCAATCAGCGTCGGTTCGGTAAGGTCCCAACGATGATCACGCGCCAGATCGACCCCAAAGAAAAAGGGACTCCATACTCATCCGCGAACTCCTCCACATAATGCTGGACATCCAATTTTCTCCGACTCCCCGCGAAGACGTGCATGGCCACGATGACCCTGTCGCGCTCCCTCTTGAGGAAACGCACCTTCTCACGGAACTCCTCAGGGGACAGTCTTGCATCCTCTCTCGCCCTGAGCTTGGCCTTGGCCTTAGCCGTGATCCACTCCACGTCCTCGACGATTGGGTCCTCTGGCACCTCGGCCGCCTTAGCCCCAAGAGCAGGTCGCCCTTCGAGCAAGGCAGCCGATCGCACCAAGGTTCTGCCGACGGCCTCCAGGTTGATGGTCATCAGGATGTGCACCGCGTGCGACAGCCCCATGGGCAGCCTGGTGTAGCACGGACACACAGCATCCCATTCATGCAGGCCAGCCCGCATAGCAGGGCTGAGCAGATTCCAGACCAAGATGGCCGGCACTGCTGGGGTGGCCATCCACGGCCACATCCACTCTGGGAGGGATACAGAAGAAAACGCATTGCTCTCATCACATCTCGCCATGTGCAACTCCAGACCAGGTGTCCTCATCATGGTGAGCGCTCCTCCTCCTCCTCCCAGTCCGTGGTCAGCCCGATGACGCACATCACTCCACAAGAAATTCGTAGGTACTGCCATGATGAGCTTCCGCAGCTTGTAACCATCCTTCTTCAAAACTGCTGATACTCCATTTATTGCCTTGGCCTCGCTCCTCCTTACGAACGTCCAAAGGTTAGCAGGTATGTCCGACCGATGTAGATATTCAATCCACTGTTCGATTCTGCCTCCGAAGAAACCATACTGCCTCTCCAGCTCCTCCACCTGCACCATGTACTTGCCCGCCAGGTCGACTACGTTCTCCTCGCGACTATAGAACTCCGCCTCGGCGGGCGGCAGCGCGTACAAGAGCGGGACCTCCTTAGTCGTCGTCGCCTCATCCACCCGGCTCGCCAAGAAGTCCGAGTGAACGTCCCGTTTGTGCACCCTCCTGTAGCCTATTTGGTCCAACTTCAAAAGCTCGCACGTCGCTTGTACGCCTGTCGCTGGGTGTAGCCGGCGAACATAGAGCTGATCCTTGGCCCTCTCGACTGAGAGCCTCTGGGCCAGCCCAGCAGCAGAGCTCTCCTTCAAGAAACTCTCACTCTTCTGCTGCATCAGTGCGGTCTGCTTCATGCTGCCCAGGTAAGTCGCGTTGAGAGCCCTCAAGATGTTGTTCGGCGTCCTGCTTAGCTCATATTTCCGATGCAAACGTTGCCTACTCCTGCCCGAGCGTGTAGACACCCGACCTGGCCGAGGTAATAACGCCACTGGTAGAACTGCTTCGTTGGCACCAAGAGCGGCGGCGACATCCGAGAGCGGAGGAAACCTCGAAGTAGATTTTGTCTCCGCCTCATCACACTGACCCTCACGCTTGGCTCGCCACCGTACTTCCTCGCATCCCCTCGGCGGTGCGCCGCGCCTGAGGTGCGGCCTGACCGAGCCCCTCGCGGAGGCCCGATCCCGCCGAGGGACTCCCTGCCGCTGCTCTGGCTGAGCGTCTCGTCGCTCCTCCCCCCGCGGCTCCGAGGGAGGAGCAGGTGGGAGGCGTCAGCCTCCCTCCTTCTTCTTGCTGCCACCACTGCCTCGGCCACCACCCTTGGAGTCTCCCTTGGAATCCCCCTTCGGGACGCGTCGCCGAAGCTCAGCCGCAACTCGCTCTGGCCTCTGATGCTCCATCTTGCTGTGGGACGTCGCCTCGTTGATGAGCCACAGCGGTGCGATGTCCACACCACTGCCCGGGGCGGTGACCGCCCTGAGCCTTGCAGCCCCTATCTTGTCGTGGGTCCTCGCTTCGTACACATACGCCGACAAGTGCCTGAGCCCTATCTCCACATTGTCGTTGCTCGTCAGGACCACCATGAGCTCGGCGTCGGAGGTGCACTTTCCCAGCTCGAAGTCCAGCGTGGCCGCTGTGGCCCACAGGGCCTGCCACTGCTCTCCTCCTCGAAATCCTTGATACTGTTGCTGGAGCCAGTGCCGTACACTCGTGCTGCCCGCCGCCCTGATATTCCTGTATATCTCCACTCCAGCTCGCTTGAAGTCGGGCGGCAACGTGTGGGCCCAGGCATCGATCTCCTGGCCCCCTGACACGGCGGGAGCGCCGAAGGTGCCCCCGAGCATCCCGTCGTTTGCGTTGATGAAGCCGTCCAGCATCACCTTTTGCGCGTCCACGTCGGGCGGGGCCTTGGTGTCGGCGCCGATGTAGCCCCGAGCGGCCAGACCCGCCTTGACTGCGGGGTCCAGCCCTCCTCCGGCCTCCAGCTGCGACACACCCTGCCAGAAGTGCGTGGCCCACCATGGGTTGGTGGAAGCGCTGCCATGCATCTTCGTCAAGTACTCCTTCACCTGCATGGCGCACTGGGCTGCCAGTGAGCCTGCCTGCTGGCCAGGCCCGCCTGGGCTCAGCCCTGGGGGGGCTCCCAACGCTGGCGCGCCCGCAGGCGCCGCCGTGGGCGCGGGGGGGGCTGCGCCCGCGGGAGCTCCCGTCCAGGACAGCGGCCCAGCGTCCGCCGCTCCCAGCCCGAACGCGTGGAAGGCGTCCATGCTCTGGTCAGCTCCTGTCCCTGGCGCCGCTGGCAGCGCCATGCCTGGCGGTGGGCCGCCTGGCCCCGGCGGACCGCCCGCGGCGGCTCCCAGCGGCGGTGGCGGCCCCGAGGGCGGCACGGGCGGGAGCGCGGGCGCGGCAGCGCCTCCTTCTCCCTCCGCCGATGCGCCCCCCAAGCTCAAGGCGTCCAGCTGAGCCCTCAGCTCCTCGATCTCCTTCTCCTTGCCTGTGGTCTGGCTCCACCACTCGAGGAGGTAGCGGAGCAGGAGCCAGAGCTGACCCGCGAGCGCGAACACCACGCCCAGGCCGATGCGGACTAGGGCTCCTCGTCCTGTCTCTGCTCTCACTGGACGTCAGTGCCGGCACTACTCCAGCTCCAGTGAGCGCCCGCGGGCCCACCCAGCGCAGGAGGCCTCCGGCCATGGCGTCGCTGTCCCCAGGTGCGGGGACCATGTGTGGCTTAGAACATCTGCTTACCTGGGAGGGACACCGCGAGCCTTGGCCCCTTAGGCCTTCATCGCTGCGATTGACCCCGCAAAGCTGCGGAGTGACGTTTGCAACAAGAGCTAGCTGGACCGAACACACTATGCATTAAAACCCGTTCGTTGAAACTCTCACTTCATCATTTGTTATTTGCAAGGTGTTTTGGATATTCATGTGTGCGCGCGCGGATGGGTGCTTTTATTTCATGTGAGTAGTGTGTGTGTGTGTATGTGTGTGTGTGGGTGTGTGTGAGCTCCTCTGTTCTTTCTACGCCGCGTCGCTGCGCGCGAGGCCGCGGTGCCAAACAGTGTGTTTGTGCGTGTGGATTTGTCTCTCTTTGTGTGCCTGTGTGTGTGCCTCTTCGGCTTCGCAGGCCTCTGATGACTTCAGAGACCTCCAGGGACGACCCCAGACATCCGAGTATCCATATTCTGCGGCTCGGACGTCCAGGTTTTCACGACCAGATCCCATGAGGGGAGCCGAGAGGCTGGGAGGCTTGTGTCCCGAAGCAGCTGGCCGCCGAATGTCCGGCCATGAGCGAGGGAGCGAAGGAGGAGCAGGGGCTTGCAGCAGGGAAGGCGGTATAGCAGAAGGACGGTCTTCCTCGCGCCTGGCCTGTCTCGGCTGCGGCGGCCGTGGCCTCCGCCGTCTTGGGGCCCTGTGGGGTCGTTTGGGGGCTCCCTTGGATGCCTCTTGGGCGATCTTGGGGGCCTCCTTGGCTGTCTTGGAGCGTCGGGAAGCCGACAAGGCGAGAACGCCAGAACCGTTCAACAACGGAAGGGAAATCTGTGATGCTTGCCCCCCGGGGCCTCTTGGGGCGTTTTGAGAGCCTCTTGAGCCGTCGTCTGGAGGCTACTTTGGCGTCTTGGACCGATACTTCGGCGATTCGGGGCCCTCGAGGACCGTCTTGAGGGCCTCTTGGGGCACTCTTGCCGCGTCTTGGGGCTTTTCTGGGTCCTTGAACCGCCCAGGGGGGATGCATATCTGGAGGGCGACCCAACCCCCCAAGACCCACCCTCTGGGACCCCCCTCCCCCCGGGACCCATCTCCTGGGACCCCCCCCCCCCGGCGCGGAAGGGGTCAAAGGGAAGGGGTATCCCTTCGCCTCAGCTACGACGTTGATCAATGTCGCTTTGGCTTGGCCGCGTAAGGAGGAGGGTCCAGGGAAAGGAGACGGGGAGCGACTGAGACGACGGAGGAGGAGACGACGAGGAGACGACGGAGACGACACGACGACGACGGCGACCAACAGAAGAGCGCCTTCCACACGCCGGCAGGGTCGGCAGAATAGTGGCGCTGGTGGTTGTAATAGTAGCATTCGGCGTCCACGTCGTAGTAGCAAAATGAGACGCGGCAGCAGTAGTTGTAGCGGCATCCTGCTTGTTTGTCGCAGTCGTAGCTGTATCAGTCATAGTATGTGTCGTGATCTTGGTTGTAGTCGTAGTCGCGCTCGTGGTCCCAGTATTGGTCCTAGCTCTTAGTTGTAGTCCTTAGCACTTGCACCAGCATTAGCATCATCATGCGCCCGCTCACAAATACTACTAGCACCAGTAAAAGTACTGGTGCTAGTGGTCGTAGTGGTCGTCCTCGCAGTGGTCGCAGCAGCGGTCGTAGCAGCAGCAGTCGCAATTCGCAATCATACAGTTCGTATTGGTCGTACGCGTACTGTGAGGTGCAGTTGCTCGGGCTGCCCCCGAGCCAAGCCGAGCGGCCGTGGCGCCCGAGAGGTGCACGCGGTCAACGGCCTCGCGCTCGTGCCGGACAACCAGGAGCCCGCGGGGCCGCCGAGAAGCAGGCGTGCCTCGGGATTAGGTCGACGACTTCAGAACCCCGAATCATCAGGGCTGGGGGCGTCAGGGATAGCTACAGGTTCGCGCATCGGGGGCCCAAACCGGAGTTTCCCGGGACTGCAGCGACCCTGGATAATTTGGGCGTCCAACCCCGGAGTTACCCGGGACCGCAGTTATCCCGGATATTCGGGCGTCCAAGACTTGTTTATTTGCCGTGGAATCGTAAAGTCTGTCATGGGGGGTTCGCACCCAGCTCCTCCGTAACGGCAACGGGCAGCGATCTCACGGTGGGGGCGTCCAGAGCACATGGAGGCGGTCGCGGCTTAGTGTGGTGGTCACGCGCACTTTGCAGTTCACAGGCGTGTTGTGGTGCTTGCGGGCCATATGTGCGCACAGACACAGACGTATGTGAGTGTGGTGGCGTTCGCAGGCACATTGCGGCGCTCACAGGCTTGTTGAGCCGTTCGCGGGTTCTTGCGGTGCTCGCAGGTTTTTTCCATGCGCTCGCAGGTCGGGAGGTATTGTGGCACACTGTGGTAGTTGCGCGGCCTGGCTGCCCTCGCCATCTGGCGGTCACAAGCAGATTGTGGAGTTCACAGGGCCGCCGCAGACTCGCGGGCAATCCGTGCGCTCACAAAGGACAAGAAGACAGAGGGATGGACAAGGGAGGTAATCACTGGCTGGTGTACGCAGTCTGGTGCTATGTGATGTGGTCAGGCGCGTGGCGCACACCTGCTCGTCGCATTGAGCGCAATTTCTCGCTGTGTTCGCAGGCATACTTCGGCATTCGCAGGCGTTTGTTCTATCGGTAGGGTTCGGAACCCTGTTGGAACCCTGTTGTTCAGACATGTGTTGTTGTGGTTGTTCGCAAGGGCGTTGTCGTGTTCGCAGACTACCGTAGTGCTCAATTGCATGGTACGGAGCCTGCGAACTAATGTGCTAATGGCAAGGTCTGGCATAGTGTGTCGCATACGTGTGCTCTCGCTATCGTCCGCAGGCGCACCGAGGTGCTCGCGGGCACGGTGTGCTGTCGCAGGCCGCCGTGGCAGTTGCAGGCTCATGGTGGCGTTGGTCGGCTATTGCGGTATTGGCAAAGTTTGGCATGCTGCTGTACGCACATGTGATGCTGGTGCTTGCACATGCGCTGTGGTGCTCACGAACACGTTGTGCCGTTCGCAGGCTATGGGGCATGCTCGCATCCGCTGTGGTGGCCGCAGATCATGACGATACTGGCAAAGTCTGGCATATTGTTGTGCATACGTCTGCTGATACTGCTCGCAGGCGCACCGTGGTGTTGGCAAGCACGCTGTGGTGTTCAAAGGCTACTGTGGTGCCCGGAACCCTTTGCTGTGGTCGCAGATGGTAATAGCCAGGTTCAGCGTTTTGATGTGCATAGGTGCGGTGTCGATGTCGTTCACAAGCTCACTGCGGCGTTCGCAGGAGCACTGCGGTGCTAGCGGGATGTTGTGCATATCCTGTCGCTCGCAGGTGGTTTTGTTATTGGCAGGGACCAGCTCCCCTTCGCCGCCAACTGGTCACAAGCACGCACACAGTGTTGCTCTCCGGCGCGTTGTGGTGGTCGTAGGCCATGGTGGTGCTCACAGGCGTACGGCTTGTCGGCAACGCACACGGCACACAGGAGCGGGGCCCTGAGCACTGTAAAGCACGCTTTTGTTGACGTCTACCACGGCGTCGCCGCTTCGGACATGTTTTGAGCGTTTGTACAGGTTCCCGTGATCACGGTTGGACCTGGATCGAGAGATTCTCTAAGGTAGCTTGATTCCCAGGTTTCTGGTGCCCCGACATAACTCGGGACCGTGTTTTTGTAAACCGTCTGGGTCTCTGGAGGCCAGCTTCGGACCCCAAGACCATCGAAACATAAATTCGTGATGGAGGGCCGGGCCAAGGGCAGGGGTCGAGGGGGACAGGAAGCAGTGTTCCTAGACAAAAGAGCCGACAGATGTGGGTGCACCAGCGCCGATGCCAATTTTCCGCTGGACCTTCCTGGGGAAAGAACCACCATTGACCCCCCGAGAGTTCGGGGTGGCAAATAGGGGGGTAATGTATGGGTGTGGGGGGATATCATGGCCAGGGCCGTGAACCCTCCCCGGATATCGTGGCCCCCTCTTCTTATTCTTAAACGCGTATTGTCGCCCCCCCCCTGGGATAGGTGAGAGGATTGCTTTTGTGCGGATTTCGAGTTCTGGCCGGGGGACGCCAGCTATCCAGCTGTCCACATGCGCTGGTCCCCGGCCGGGCCAGTTCTGGGCCCGGCATCGGTGCACGCGCCCTCCAGACCGACCAGGAAGGTTTTGGCTACGAGCTGTTTCTGTCCCCGTTGGCTCTTGCGAGGCTGCGATGGCCTGTCTGCGACGATCGAGGCGCTCGTCCCCCCCCCCCCGCCCCTGTCCAGATCAGGAGCGGGCGACGAGGAGGACGACGCTGAATGAAGCCCTCCTGGGGCCTACCCTTCCTGCCTCTCCGGACCACTCCCTCTCCCCTCTCCTGAGATCCCTCCCCAAGCTGCCTCCCTCCCTCCGCTCTCCCGCCCCCCTCCCTCTCCCCGTGCTGACCCCTCCCCGCCAATCCTCCATTTCCTCGCTCTGCTCTGTTCCCCTGATTCCTTCTCCTCTCTTCCTCGCCTTCCCATGCCTGCGCCTGCTATCCAACCCATGCCTTTTCCTCACCTCACCCCTGCTGCCCCCCTAATATCCCTCCTGCAAGCGACAGTCAATTTGAGATCAGATGACCTCACCATCGCGCTCCCCCTCGTCAGTTTGATAGGCCTGGATATGGCCACTAGGTCAGAGAGAACAAATTAGTACCTCAATTGCTTGGCTTGATGACCTGCTCAACATTACTGTAAGTTCTTGGCTGGATGTCAAGAGAAACCTACCAACTTGTTCGCAGCGATTACCCATTGCCCCATTGCTCGCATGGAACACTCTTGGGCTACGTGTGAGGCTGAGCAGCATAGTAGTTGCAGGGGGAGTTCAAACCCAGACTCCCAGTCCATCGTGAAAACTTACCTCATGCCTGTCATAAAGATCCCCTTGCACTGTGCACCACCTGCCCAGGGGGCAGGCTCCTTGAAAGTCCTGACAATGTCGACGAGCTCAAGCTGGCTGTGCCCAGTCAACAACTAAAGTTAGCCACCGTTGTCGACCCCCGTCACTTCTGGCACTTACGGCCATGACTCTTGTCAAAGGCATGATGATTCGAATGTACGCATTATCTCGACCTACCTCCAGACTGCTCGGAATCCTGCACGGCTGCAAGCGCTGCAGGCGGGCTCTGCAATATGCGCGCACGTTCGGGGAAAGCTTGATGCTCGACGGTGTGGTGGTGCCCACATGCTCTGCGATCCGCACGCCCTGAGCCCCAGCTCCAGCGAACACGTCGGCCACCCCACTGGCTAGGACGAGCAACCGAGGGGCCCTGGTCCTGCAGCACACCACGATCCTTCACGCGCGAGAGCACCAACTCGACACCCAGGCGGTAGAAGACCCTAAACCTTGGCATCGCTCGGACCTGTGCGTTACTTCCTCGGCGAGGACCATCGAGGAGCATCCTGGATCACACTGCGAATAACAGAGCGCTCACGCGTTCGAAACATGAACGGGGAATGGACGTCCGAGTGATGGCGAGAAACAGCTTTACACAGACACGATTGAGGAGGGGGGGGGCACGGTGGGCCACCGAGTTCCGGCGACCGGGCGCCCCCTCACCAGGCGTCAGCGCCATGCGGAATATAACGATTACGGGCACGCTGATCAGGGAAACACCGTGCAGCCAAAGCGCGGGCCGTTCCTGCAAGAGCTGTCCGATGTCTAAACCCGAGATCATCAGGAAGGAAAAGCACACCGACACAAAGAATCGTCGATTCCAAAGAGATGTGGGACACCATGGGGAGTGCGGGGGAAGACGAACAACCAGAAAAGATTGCAAGTATGGGGAATCCTCGGATTTGCGTCTGTTTATTTGTGCGTCCCTGGGCCGTTCAGATCGCTGTTCGGGCACGGTGGAGCAGCAGGAGGGACGAGGAACAGCAGCAAGAGGAGAGGCGGGAGCGGGATCAATCGTGGTTGTCTTTGGACCCCGCGGGGCCATCCCAGGCCTCTGTGAGCCTTCTCCCTCCCCTCCTCCTCGCCCTCTCTCCTCCTAACCCTCAGGGGAGGAAAAGGTAGCCATACCGCTACCCCTGCATCGTTTTCTTGTTTGGGGGCCTCCTGGGAGGCCCTCGTCGGCACCGCTGGATTCGCCTCGAAATTCTGGCTAGAACGCACCCCTGGAGAGGTCAGGGGAGTAGCGGTATCGGTACCTTTTAATATTCCCATGCCCTCCTTCGTAAGGCATCCATTTTCGCAGAAGCCCGCCGCTATCCGCCAACAAGACTCTCTCTAGCTTCCCCCTCTTTCTGCTCCGCCTCCCTCCTTCCTCACTCCTCCTCCATCTTCTTCCCTTCCTCACCCCTTCTCCGCCGTCTTCTGGTCGACGCAGGAGGTGAAAGCTGTTTGGGGTCCTTGGCTAGGTGAGTCTGCGCCTGCCAGTGCTGCTGCTGGAAACCTGGTAGGAGCCCGTGAGGCTCGGTTCTTCATCCCGAGTTGTTTTTGACGGTCATCGGGTCCATATTCTGTTTTCAGAGACTGAAAACCGAGGAACCAGCCGTTTCATTTTTCCCGGCCATCTTGTGGTGTTGGGTCTTCGTTCTGAAGAGACATTGTCCCGCGTCTCTCCTCTCCTCCCTCCTCCCATCCTCGCCGCTGTCCTCCGCATGCCCATGTCGGCACACCCCTCACACACTTCGTGACCCCATAGGGGGCTCCACCGAAGCCCCAGGATGGGGGTTCGTGTGTGGTTCTTACTTATGTCGGCACACCCCTCGCACGTTCCGTGGTCCAATAGGGGGCTCCAGCGAATCCCCCAGCAGGGAGGGGTCGCATGCGGTTTTTACCCATGCCGTCACACCCCGCACACGTTTCGTGGCCCCACAGGAGAACCACCGAAGCCCCAGGAGGGGGGATTCGCATGCGACTCTTACGTACCCACTTCGGTACGCCCCCATGAAGAGTTCCACCAGAGGCTCCAGTGGCACAGCTCACATGCGTCCCCAGGCCCACCCGTCTCACGCTTCTTGGGAGCTCGACCGAAGCTCCCCGGAGGGGGGTCTCGCATGCGGATCTTACCCATGTCGGCACGACCCCATAGTGAGCTCCACCGAAGGCCCAAGCGGCACAGCTCACATGCGTCCCCAGGCCCATTTCGGCACACCCGTCGCGCGTTTCGTGGCCCCATGGGGATCTCCACCGAAGGCCCCAGTGGCAGGGCCCCGCATGCGCGCCCAGGCCCGTGTCGGCACACCACTCACACGTTTCGTGGCCCCATAGGGAGCCCCAACGAAGCCGACATTCGCAAGTGCAGTACTCACAACTGCCTATGGATGGGTCCCTCGCCAAAATAACGATGTCTAGGACCGCAGGCCCAAGAGGTGCACGAGAGGCTCTTTCGAATATTTTTGTTCGGGCATGGGGCTGGTTCTGGGAGGCTCCAGGGTCCTCTTCCCCTACTCCTCCTCCATTCCTCTCCATTCCTCCCCTGCCTTCTCCTCCATCCTCCATCCTCCATCTCCTCTCCTCTCCTCTCCTCTCCTCCTCTTCCTCCTCCTCTTCCTCCTCCTCTTGCTGACCCCCCGCTCACTGTCCCCCCGTCAACGAACACCCAACAAGCGCGTGCCCAGGGCCCACGTCAGAGCCGCAGGGGCCGAGCGAGGCAGCGGACAAGGAGACGAGAGAGCCCCGTCGGTCGGAGGTGGGGGAGCAGGGGCGCCTTGGTCCGCCACGAAGCAAACGGGTGCTGATGCGGCGGCTACGGAGGGCGCGGTTACGCCAGGGTGCGGTTTGCGGCTGGCGCCGTTGGGGCTTAGGGGGGCACCACGTTGCCCTCCTCGGGGCGAGGCGGAGAACTCTGCCGAGGTCCTGGCCCGCCCCCCGAGGCGCGGGCTGCAAACCACAACTGTTGCAAACCACACCCTTCGGAGCCGCCGACTGGGGGAGGAGGGTCCTGAGTCGTTTCGCCGTCTCCAGGCCCCCATGGCCCTCCCACGGGCCTTGAGTCCGTCCACGAAGGGATCGGCGGCGAGCAAGGGGGGGAGTGAGATGGGACGGGCTTCGCAGAAGGCTCGGAGGTCCCCCGGCCTACTGAGAAGCGTTGTGAGTTGTGAGCCTTCCCCGAAGACGCAGCAAGCTTGTCAGAAGGCTCGAGGGCTCTTGAAACGCCCCGCCGCCTTCCGAGAAGGCCTTCTCCCTCTCGCTTCCCCCTCTCGCCCGCCGCCGAAGGGAGTCAGGACGACGAGCTGTTCCAGGGGGGACGGCCCTCCTCCTCCTCCTCCTCCTCCTCCTCCTCCTGTTCCAGGGGGGACGGCCCTCCTGCTCCTCCTCCTCCTCCTCCTCCGCCTCCTCCTCCTTCTCCGTCTTCCTCCTCCTCTTCCTCCTCCTCCTCCACAATTACACAATATGAAAATACTCTCCCACTTCCCCTGATGGCGTCCCGAAGATATCCGACTCCCCCCCCCGCGAACTGTTTTTTTGCACACAGGATTCCCGGGAAACGGGTTTTCGCCTGCGTTTTTTCCCAAAATGGTGCTCTCGCTGAGGCGCCGGCCTCATTTCTGCTCCCGAATCGTTCCGAATCGTGCTCCCGCTGCAGCGTGGGCCTCATTTTCGGATAGGTGTTTGGCCTCCGTCGTTCAGGATGGCGTTCTCGCCCCAGCGCGGGCCTCTTTCTCGCGCGCCCATCACCGCACCGCACCACCACCAGCGCACGCACGCACGCACGCACGCACGCACCACCACCCACACGCACCACACACGCACGACACGCAGCACCTCACCCCCCCCCTCCCCCCCCCCCTCCCCCTCCCCCCCCCTCCTCCTCCTCCTCCCCCTCCCCCCCCTCGGGATGCGTCTGCGTCGCACCCGCCGCGGCCCCGACCCCGCCGCCCGGAGGAGAAGGTCATGGGCGGCCTGAAGTCGCGGCCAGTGGTCCTGGACGTCCGCCCCGTGGGCTGGGTCCCCTCGGAGAAGCGCAGGGAGCGCGAGAAGAGGAAGATTCTGGAGGAGGCCCTTCCAGTCCTCCTCCTCCTCCTCCTCCTCCTCCTCCTCCTCCTCCTCCTCTTCCTCCTCCTCCTCCTCCTCCTCCTCCTCCTCCTCCACGTCCTGCTCTTCCTCCTTCTCCTCCTCCTCCTTCTCTTCCTTCTCCTTCTCCTCCTCCTCCTCCTCCTCCTCCTCCTCCTCCTCCTCGTCGCGCGGGTGCGCCTGGCCGGGGCCGGCTGCGCCCAGCGGCCCGGGCGGGTCGAGGCTCGCGCGGCGGGGCGAGGCGGCCCGGGCGGGGCTCCCTCTCGCCAGCCAGCCCCGGCACTCGCCCAGGTCTGGGGAGCGCGGCCGCCAGGCAGGGGGCGCCCGGGTTAAGGAGGAGGAGGAGGAGGAGGAGGAGGAGGAGGAGGAGGAGGAGGAGGACCAGTGCAAACCCAAGAGTCGTCAACGATGTTGGAATGAAGCCTCCCTCCAAGCTCCCTCTTCGCAGGCCGCTACAACGGTTGATTTCCATTGAGGGAACTGCCTCGTTGTAAGACCACCATTTGAAGATCCTGAAGCGTGCCAAAACATTGCTCTCGGGATTTCAACGCCACGTATCAACCTGACTGCTGCGTCTTGACGATCCGGATTCGCGCCAGAACGCTTTTTTGGGGATTTCAACACAGCGAATCAACATAACACTTGCGCCCGCATAATCCTGAATCCTTCCAAAACGCCATTCCTGGTACGTTGACCATGAGAATCCGTGAAACTCTTGCAAACTGTTAAACAGAATGCGCGCGGCGCTAAGGCGAGTGTCACATTTTGAAGAGGAACTGCCCTCAATCCGTGAAACTCTTGCAAATGTTTAAAGCGAATGTGCGCGGCGCTAGGGCGAGAGCCACATTTTGAAAACGACCCGCCCTCAATCCGTGAAACTCTTGCAAATGTTTAAAACGAATGTGCGCGGCGCTTGGGCGAGAGCCCCAGTTTGAAAAGGAGCCGCCTTCAATCCGTGGAACTCTTGCACATGTTTAAAACGAATGTGCGCGGCGCTAAGGCGAGAGCCACATTTTGAAAACGACCCGCACTCAGTCGGTGAAGCTCTTGCAAATTTTAAAAACGAATGCACGCGGCGCTTAGGCGAGAACCACATTTTGAAATCCAATCCGCGAAATTCTTGCAGATGTTTAAAGCGAATGTGCGCGGCGCTAGGGCTAGAGCCTCATTTTGAAAACGTCCCGCCCTCCATCTGTCAAACTGCTGACGCTTATGAAGCTTCAGTGTCATAGATTGTAAGGAAGTCTCAGGCGAAACGCCCGGCCCGCTCTAAGAACTGGCCCCGGGGTGCGACAGGGAGAAGTTATCTTTAAGGAGAAAGAATGGAGGAGGAGGAGGAGGAGGAGGAGGAGGAGGAGGAGGAGGAGGAGGAGGAGGAGGAGGAGGAGGAGGAGGAGGAGGAGGAGGAGGAGAGTCGGATCAGCGACCCACGGAAACAAGGTGCGCGACCTTGACAGCCAGGGGGGGTGCAGCACGGTATTTAGTGGGCATTCGGTCGACCTTGCCACCGTGCTTGGGTTGGAGGTCAGAGGCCTTTGGGATATTGTTCGGGATCCCGTGGGAGGCCTCGCGGAAGCCTCTCAGATTCGGTTTGGGAGTGTCTTGGGGGCCTCTTGGAGGTCTAGGGCCTGATTTGGGAGTCCTGGGGGCCTCGTGAAGCTGGTGTGAACTCTCCAGGGGGCCTGCCGGTGGTCTCGGGGGCCATCTTGGGTCACAGGGCCGGAAATGTCGGTTCGCGCCCCCCCCTCCAGGCCTCTCTTGGGCTCCTCTTGGATCTCTATCGGGCAGTCTTTGGGGCCTCTTTGGCCATCTTGTGGCCATCTTGGGCCGTCTGGGGGTGCTCTTGGGGGCATCGCGGGCCGTCTTGGGGCGATCTTTGGGTTTTTTTTTGGACCGTTTTGGAGCGTCGAAAGTTAGAAAAGGCGGGAACACTAAAATACGTCAAACACCTAAGGCAACTCAATGAGTTTTGGCATCCGGGGGGGATCCTGTTGAGGCGTCTTGGGGGCCTCTTGGGTCGTCTTGGGGCCATCTTGGGCGTCTTGGAGCGCTGTCGGGCCATGGCGCAGGCATCCTCTCCTGGAGGAGCCACGCAGGCTTGCTGTGTTTGTGTGTGTGGTACGTGGTGTGTGGTGTGTGGTGTGTGGTGTGTGGTGTGTGGTGTGTGTGTGTGTGCGTGTAGTCTTTTCATATTTAAGCTTTCTCAGTACAAGTCTCGGATGTTGACCCTGTTTTCCTTAGCGTAGTTGTGCTCTTGGGGAAGTCTTGGGCCGTAAGGGGTTCAGACTCTAGGGCTTTGGGTGACACCATCTGCAGCCAGATGGTGTCGAAGCATGCGTTCACGTGTGAACACACAAAGTGTCTGCTGTATATCCCGCATTAATTTGCCAGCTCTCTCTCTCTCTGCACATGTGCGCATGTATATTGCTGTTTGTGTTCAGGCCTGTTTTAGGGGCACAGGCCCCCCGAGCTGCCGCGGCAGCAGACCGTGCTGAAAGAAGTGCTCGCTCGGGCGGGACAGGCATGAATCATCCATATTCCTTCTACTATCATTGTTGTTGAGGGCAGGCGGCGTACCTCGGTGGCAAGATTGAGTATCAGGATTTATCTTCACTATCGTGTGATTGCGCCAGCGTGGATTTGCAACAGTACCTGCTGCATTGTACCATCGGCGCCCTCCATATACACATCCATATTTCCATATTTCCTTATCGATAGATATCATTTGAGCACTCCCAATAACGTTCTCTCCGCCAATGGCTTGCTGTACGACAACCGTTGTCAGATCTCGGCAGCAAGCAAGGAGATATGCGAAGTTTGATGCACCTTACCTTTCTCAGTGAAGAAGTTCAGTGCCGTGTATTGCTTGATAAGTCTCTGCTTTTTCGCCGACAGCCTCACCAACATCCGCATATGTTTCAAGCTTTCTGGACAGCGACGACATGGCATCTCTTAATCGATCGCCCGAACCCCACCTTCACTACGGCTCTTGGTCACATATACACTGTGTACCTGCAGCACGTGTCCAACCCCATGTCCACTCTCACCCCACTCGGATGGGAGATTTTTGCGAGCATCACAATTGCCTTTATGCTACTATCCTTGCGAAATGACAGTGGGCGTGGACGCCAATATGTATGGTGGGTTCTAAGATGCATTAACGTCTTAAGTTATGCACACCGTAAGGCTCTCGTTCGGCGTGGAGAGGCTGACTTTCATCGTATCATTTCGATTTGTTCATTAGTCCGCCTACAGACTTCAGCCTTATATGGGTGGTCTTCCACAGGCTCCCCTCCTCGCAGCTTTGTTTATCAGCTCGGTTTCAAAGGACGATACATTGGCCAGACTTGTCAGTATCGCGGCCTGGGGCGCACCACAGGCTTCATCAGCAGGTTTCGCGAACATGTTCGCGGATGGGCTCGAGTGTTGTCCGGTGAAAAAGGAGCCCAAGATACCCGCTACAGTATTCTCCTCTCCAAGGATGGCCGAACTAAGTTTCCGATTCTCGCAGTTGATTATGTTCCGACCGATGAGATCTACTCCATCGAGTCCGCGCACATTAACCTACATCGCCTTGAGGCCAATACTATTCCTGTTCCCGTTCGTGCTCGTCGTCGAAAACATCGTGCCCAGGGCCGACGTCGACGAAATGGGCGTACTTCCAGGTCTGGTTCCCGAGCCCTGCAGGATTTCATGGACGCTTCGGATGTTTGGCACTCTCGCATGATGGATCGCTTCGCGTCCCAGTATGTTTTTCGACAACGATACCTCGAAAGTCGCTCTCGCTTACAAACTATTCCACGCTGCCAGTTCAAATTCGTGCACCAGGTCAACCTCCCAGCCTTTGTCAAATCGACAGGGACCCAGGGACCACTTGACATCCACCACCCAGGATACCTGCCCTTGTTTGCGAAGTTCCTTATCATTAAACCCGACGAGATTGATTGGGCAAAAGCCTCCAAGCTACGAGCGTTTCCAGCAGATTTCCCGACAACCGTTTGGCTATTTTGTGTTGTTATTCCACATTATCATGACAGACTACGCGCACGTGCACATGTAAGTACATACTGTCGCCTTCACGATGTCCCTCTCCCGTGCAAGAACTACCTCCATGTCCCCTCTGTGGATTTTTTGCAGCCAGTTCGTGAATGGCCGCAGAGATTCTGCGTTGCTCTGCACGTGCCCGCCCGCAGTGGTCAGCCCTGATGCGGAAGTTGACATGCATTGTGCTGGCGCCGCCGCAACCTATCAAACGACGTCGCTTGAATGTCGTTCAGTGTGTGCATGCTTCTCGGTTTCGTGATCTAGCTGATGCCCAGCCCTTTTTATTATCTTGCCTTACCTCTGGCCAAGACGTTGGCCGCGTCACATTCTCCGGCAGAACTCCCCTTGAAGGTACCGAGAAGGAGATTCGTCGCGAGGTGTGCGCTAGGCGTGGGCAGTGGCTCCGTCATTTTCGTTTCCCTGAGGCTCGTCTGCACGAACTCGGGTGTCGGCTCCTCCAAGGACTCTGTAACCGAGCCTCCTCAAAACGTTTCTCGTCATCTACTTCGGCAGTGGTTTCTGAGGCAAAATCCCATGGGCTCTCGGCTTGCATCACGGTTGAAGATAAGGACCCTAACGTCCTTTGGGTTATGGCTCCCTTCTATATGATGCTCCGATGGATTTATCTGATCAGCCGTGTCCCTCATAGGTGGAAAATCCTACATGCTCCCAAATCCCAAGTAGTATCCTGGTACCGTATGCTATTGGACTTTACTATTCCAAAAAAGTTATTCCGTGGACGACCCCAACTCTCATATGCAAGTTGCCCTATGTATACCCCACGGTAAAACTGAAATGCTGGACCCCCTCTGGTGAACACCGATGCCAGGACCCAGAACATTCGTGTTTCAGGAATCTATGCTCCTTTTTTCGTCTCCCAGGGAGACGGGTATATCGGCAGCTAGGTCGGGGCCTTCAACATATCATGAAATATCTCACGCCTGGATGGGGTTTACGTGACATGAGTCAAGCCTTCCCTCTCTTGGCCGACCGTGTATTGAGACTACGGCGCCCGACCCGCTGCTCTCATACCGGTTGCTACCATTGCCATCGTCGCGGTCGAAAGATGAGCCACCCGACCACTCTCGTGGCCGATGCAGGTCAGGCCTACGAGGACCTCGATACTAGTGCGATCTACACTGCAGTCCAGGAGCTTTTCGAAAGGGTCCCAGAGGTCACAAAAACACAAACTGCCACAATTACGAACATGGATCGGGGATATGATACACGATGGGGAGGAGATTACAAAATGCCGCATGCAGATCGCACTATCTTTTCAATGAAGTCTATGCGGCGTGCAGTTTACGGCTTTCTCGGCATGCGAATCTTCCGCATGGGTGGCGTTTTCTTGCATCAGTTGCAGGGCAGTCCGATCGGAGGCCCACTTTCAGGCTGTATACTTGAGATTGTGCTTTCTCTCTGCGAGACCATGTATGACGCCGCCAACCCTTCGCGTTTCCGCCACCTGGCCGTAGGCCGCTACGTGGATGACCTGATTCTTTTATCTCGGACCCTTTGCCGAGAATGTGTTCGTACTGTCATCGCCTGCGTCTACAAAAACATAGTGGCGTTTAAAGTTGACGAGAAGTTTGATGTCGTGACTTTCGAGACTGTCGCCCAAACGTTCTCGGACGCCAGGGTCCACTTCAATTTCCAGGAGTTTCTCTTGAGCCCTATACACAAAAACATGAAACTTGCCTGGGCAATTTCCCTTCGACATCGGGCCGAACTTCGGGGTAGACTCTCTCGTTGGCGCAGTCTATCTACACATCCAGCTTTACTCCTACACATGATTATTATCGACATCCTGGTTTACATCCACCTCGGATACCCCTACACGTTCATCCATAAGCTCTGGGCCCGCATTCAGCCCTCCTCGGAAGTTCAGGATCTCGCCCTACTAGCCCTGCGGTTGGTTGCCCAAGCCTATGCCCCTGCGAAATCCAGGACCACTCGATGCCTCCAAGGTCATATCCGTAATTGTTATGTGGCCCGAGCCTTTCTCCTACGGGCCTCCGAGGTACGACCCCACGGGGGCCGACCCTGCCTTCTTCCCTCGACGCCGATCCCACATACTGAGATGGGTGGTAAGCCGTGGCACCCACAAGGAGGGAGGAACCAGTGCCAAGGAAAAGGTCCCCAGCAGCACCATCCGCGAGGATATCAGCCTCGTCAAGGGGGAGGGTTTGCTACGATGGCAGACCAGTTCAACGATATGATGGGCAATCTAGCGAGCCTTGGCCAGATGGCTCAGATTGGCAGCGCATTGGCATATGCTCAGACGCAGTCAACACCCCAAGCAGCGGGCGGTGTCCCTGCCCCAGCCAATACCTCTACCCGCGAGCTCGCCGCGGCCCTGACGCACGTGATCAAGGCCGCTCATCCACGACCGTCTCCACCGCCTACGGGGATGACACCACAATCTCCAGTGCCGCGTGGTGACTCTAGGCTGACGGAGACGGTGAGCCAGCTGTCTGAGTTCGCACGGTCCAGCCAGTCTGCACCCGCACTTCCGACTACGCCTCCTACTATGACGACGCCACCGACCCCGCAAAGTGGGTTTGATCTCGAGTCGCAGCCGGCCTTCAAGAAGCTGCGACAGGATTTCGATGCCCTCAGCGCCGAGCGGGCGAAGCAGAAGGAGACGATCCAGTCTATCCAGCAAACTACTGCCCATACGGGGTCGGGCGCGCGTGAATTGATAAACATGTTCAAATCCACAGAGGGCCCCCTTCCAGCCAGGCGGGCAACCAGGCAGGATAGAGATAAGGGTCCTGCTCTGCCCCGGGCTCCTCCACCTCTCCTCAAGACCGCGATGGGCCAGGAGACGACCGAGGCCGCTATCAATATCCTTGGCATCAGCTTAGACCGTAAAGAGATGAAGTCCCTGGCTGAGAACCTTCCGCTTCCGTGGAAGGAGTGGTGGTCGCATGTATGCAAGCTCGAGTCTGTGAGCCAATGGCAGTCCAAGCTACGCAGTTTCGACTCTGAAGCGGAGACCTGGATCCTTGATGTGAGATCTTATACGACGATTGGCAACAAGATCTACCAGCACCTCGACAGCGGCGGCGAGTGGAGCGAGACGGCGCTTCAGAAAACCCCACCCTGAGCAGACCTTCCAGCGCGCCAGCCTGATCCTCATGTACACCACAGGAAGAGGACCCCGCTCGCTTCTTGGAGCCCCTGGACAGTTTTTTCTCTCTTGCTTTGAAGTTGCTGTTGATCTTCGCCTTCCTTGAGACGTGTCTTATCATGCGTAAGTTTGGTCTCAGTGCTTCCACGACGTTTGAGGGCGTTCTTTCAGAGATCTCCCAGAACCTTACCTCCATTACCTGTACCGTGATGTCCAGTTCTGGCCTCAGTTGGGCCCTCTCCCATGCATCTACATCTGTACTCCAGGCCTCCCTTGGGGAGGGTGAACTTCTGAGTGACAAGATTCCCCCGCTTGCTCTCTCACCCTTCCCCCGTATGCTTGGCTACCCATGTCTACTCTATCTTGTGCGGTGGGTGGGGCCTCTGCACAGATAAGATTGACGTGCGCCGTACCCGCGCCACTCACCCGCGCGAACCCGCCAACTTCTGATCTCGCGAAGCCAAAGGCTCTTCGTTTGAACCTCCCTTTGAATTGGTGGGTTTGTGTGTGTGCGTGTAGTCTTTTCAGGTTTAAGCTTTCTCAGTGCAAGTCTCGGACGTTTACCCTGTTATCCTTAGCGTAGTTGTGCTCTTGGGGAAGTCTTGGGCCGTGAGGGGTTCAGACTCTAGGGCTTTGGGTGGCGCCATCTGCAGCTAGATGGTGTCGAAGCATGCATTCACGTGTGAACACACAGAGCGTCTGCTGTATATCCCGCATTAATTTGCCAGCTCTCTCTCTCTCTCTCTCTCTCTCTCTCTCTCTCTCTCTCTGCGCATGTGCGCATGTATATTGCTGTTTGTGTTCAGGCCTGTTTTAGGGGCGCAGGCCCCCCGAGCTGCCGCGGCAGCAGACCGTGCTGAAAGAAGTGCTCGCTCGGGCGGGGCAGGCATGAATCATCCATATCCCTTCTACTATCATTGTTGTTGAGGGCAGGCGACGTACCTCGGTGGCAAGATTGAGTATCAGGATTTATCTTCACTATCGTGTGTGTGTGTGTGTGTGTGGGGGGGGGGGTCGGTCGGCTCGGCTCGGTGGCGTCGCAGTCGGTTGCGTTCGGTCGGTTCGGTTCGGTTGGCTGTTGTGCGCTGCCGCGTCGCTGTGCCATTCTAGGCTGGTTTCGGCCTGATGATTTCGGTCGGTTCTGGTTTCTCTGTCGGTTCGGTCGGTTTTCGGTTTTGTTGTGGCCGTGCACGTCCTTGGGGCGGTGGGTCCACGGTCGGAATCAGGGGGCCGGGGCGGACGATGGGCGTCGGAGGGCACGGTCGGAATCGGGGGCTGGGCGGGGGCGGGAGACACGTCTGGCCCATTGTCGAAATGAGGGGCCCGAGACCGGTTTTTGCAGGGGCCGAAGACGGCCAACAGAAGCTCCCGGCGTTGTTTTGTGTTGAAGCAAGGGGATCCGGGGTGGGATGGGATCTGTCGCAAGGGCGCAGATCGAATGGGCTTGATGTGGTGTGTCGTGCTTCGGGGCTCGGGGGTCTGGTCTTGAGGTTTTGATGCCCGTGTAGACGGCGACCACGTGGCGCACGCGTGCGGGTGGGTGTCGGTCGGCGGCGAGCGATGGCGACGGCTTTCTCAGAATGCGGCGTGACTTATCAGACGCCCTCGCGCCTTCTGAGAAGCTTTCTGCGTCTTCGGGAAAGGTTTCGAAACCTTCTCAAAAGGGTGGGGGACCTTCGAGTCTTCTGAGAAGGCCCGCCCCGTCTCAGAAGTTTCCTGCGCCTTCGGGGAAGGTTTCGAAGTCTTCTCAGCAGGGTGGGGGGACTTCCGAGTCTTCGGAGGAGGCGCGCCCCATCTCGCTTCCCCCCACGGGCTCGCAGCAACGGCTGCAGGTGGCGGGCGAGGAGGGGGGGACGGGACAGCGCTCGGATGGAGCCCGCGGCCTCCCGCTGGCCATTGCCAGCGCTGGCTGCCGCTCGGGACGACCGAGGGGATGCGTTCCGCCACTTGGGGCTCGCCGCCGAGGCGAGCTTCTTCTGTAGAGGGCAGTCCGGCGGCTCCTCGCCTTCCCATGGCTCGGGGCAACGTGAGGCTCGAGCACGCCGGAACCCGGGTCTGCCGACGTTTTTTTTGACGAGTCGAAGAAGAAACAACGGCCTAAGTCTACATTGTCAGGAGGGAAGAAAAGACACAGACACGATTAATCGTCGATTCCCCATATAATATGGAAACATATAGGAAGTGGGGGGATGACAAAAACCTAGAAAACATTTGGAAAAATATGGGGAATCCTGTTGTTTGTGTTTATGTATTTGTGTGTCCCTGGGCCCCTTCACATTTTCAGAGCTCCGCTCGGAATTCTGGGATCTGCGCTGGGCTCCCCTGGCGGCGCCTCTGGCGCCGCCCCTGGCGCCCTAGCGCGGATCCGAGAAATCCGCGCGGAGCGCCAAGAGTTTTTGTTCATGCCGTTTTTCCTTCTTCTACGAGCGCGTCCTGAAGTTTGACGGTCCAGTGTCCGTGGGATGCTTGCAGCGGGAGCTCGTGCCAAATTTCAGATGGGGTCTCGTCATTTTCATGGTCTTGCGCCTCCCCGACAGGCGGAGACCAAGGCGAGAATCGAGGAGGAGGAGCGCCGCAGGGAGCAGGCGTTGCTCCCCCCCCCCCCACACGGCGGGGCAGTGCAGCGGCTGGCAGGGTCGTCGCCGTGCGTCGTCGTCGGCCGTGGCTGGTGTCGTGTGCCGTTCGTGGCCCGTCGTCGTGTCGCCGTCGACCGTGGTCGTCGTCCTCGTCGACCGTCGTCGTCCTCAAGCGTCGTCGGACGCCGTCGACCGTGGTCGTCCTCGTTGTCGTCACCGCCGTCGTCGACCAGCGTCGTTGTCGACCGTCTCGTCGTCCTCGTCTTCGACCTCGACCTTCTCCATCCTTCCTCCAGAGCTGGGGAGTCGAGATGACAACGATGGGGCGATGCCGAAGGCAAGGGCAGAAGACGAGGACGAGGGCAAGGCGGAGGAGGAGGGGGGACGAGGAGGATGAGGAGGAGGAGGAGGAGGAGGAGGCGGAGGGGGTGATAGGGGGGATCTGTCTCATCCATCCTCCCCCCTTCAATGGGGAAAGAGGAAGAGGAGGAGGCAACTCGAGGTCGTGTCGGGGTGCGCGCAGGTGGCATAATGTGCGTGTCCACCAGCTAGATGAATCCATGAGGAGGAGGAGGAGGAGGAAGAGGAGAAGGAGGCGGAGGAGGACGAGCGGAGGAGAAGGAGGAGGAGGAGGAGGAGGAGGAGGAGGAGGAGGAGGAAGAGGAGGAGGAGGAGAAGGAAGAGAAGAGGAAGAGGAGGAGGCGGAGGAGGAGGAGGAGAGGAGGAGGGGGAGGAGGAGGAGGAGGAGAAGGAGGAGGAGGAGAAGAGGAGAAGAGGAGGAGAGAGGAGGAGAGAGGACGAGGAGAGAGGAGAAGACAGGAGGAGAGAGGACAGAGGAGGAGGGAGGAGAAGGAGGAAGAGGAGGACAGAGGAGGAGGGAGGAGAGAGGATGATGATGATGCTGATGATGGTGACGATGATGATGGTGACGATGATGATGATGATGATGATGATGATGATGATGATGATGATGATGATGATGGTGATGATGATGATGATGCTGATGATGATGATGTGATGGTGATGGTGATGGTGATGGTGATGGTGATGGTGATGTGATGGTGATGTGATGATGATGATGATGATGATGATGATGATGATGATGCTGATGGTGATGATGATGATGATGATGATGATGATGATGTGATGATGATGATGGTGATGGTGTGGATGGTGATGGTGATGGTGGTGATGGTGATGGTGATGGTGATGGGATGGTGATGGTGACGATGATGATGGATGATGATGATGATGATGATGATGATGATGATGATGATGATGATGATGATGATGATGATGATGATGATGATGATGATGATGATGATGATGATGATGATGATGATGATGATGATGATGATGATGATGATGTGATGATGATGATGATGATGATGATGATGATGATGATGATGATGATGATATGATGATGATGATGATGATGATGATGATGATGATGATGATGATGATGATGATGATGATGATGATGATGATGATGATGATGATGATGATGATGATGATGATGATGATGATGATGATGATGATGATGATGATGATGATGATGATGATGATGATGATGATGATGATGATGATGATGATGATGATGGTGATGATGATGATGATGATGATGAGGAGGAGGAGGAGGAGGAGGAGGAGGAGGAGGACAAGGAGGGGGAGGAGGGATGGACAAGTGAGTAGGATGAGCAGGAGGAGGAAGGAGTAGCAGGGAGCCAGCGGGAAGAACTGTAGGAGAAGAGCTGAGGGGGAAGTAGCGAGGGAGGAAGAGTAGGAGGGTGGATTGTGGATTGGTTTGAGGCTTTTGGGCGTTCCAGGTGTCTGGATGGGCTCGAGGGGTATAGTTGTGCCTCGTCGCTCGCCCTTCCTCCCCTCTCCTCGTGATCCTCCGTTCGCATCCGTCGTCCCTTCTGGCCCTTGTTCATCCTCCTGAAAGTCTGACCCGATCCGATCTTTATCCGATGTTCATCTGTCCCAACGTTGTGCGCACAAGCTGCGAGGCCCGTGCCTGCCACCCACTCACAGGGGGCCTGAGGTGCTTCAGAGGTGTTGCCACGGAGGCCTGGCCACAGCAGTCGTGTGCGAGAGTGTCTGCAGCTCCGTCCCGTCGGAGTGTTGACGAGTGTGTTGTTCTTTTGCGTCCTTTGCCATTGGCTACGACCAGCGGTTGGCTGCCTTACAGCTCCGAGATGCCTGGGCGGAGGGAATTCAATCTTTGGGGATGCCTTTTTTTCGTTGGCGTTAGGCGGAGGGATGTAGCCTTTGTCTTGGTACAAACATATTCCTCTCGGATGGGCGCCTCCCTTGCCTCCTGGGCTTCCGCAGGACCCCGCCCAGGGACGACGGAGGAGAACGAGGAGGATGTGGTGGAATTTGGATTGGCCTGCCGCTGGACAGGCGAAGCGGGTTTGGAAGAGGAGGAGAATTAAGGAGGGACGAGTAAGGATGACGCAGGGAGAGACATGCGAGATAGGAGGAGGGTGAGGGAGGAGGAAGGGGGAGGAGGGAGGATGCGGGAGAGGGAACGGAGGAGGGAGGGGCGAAGAAGAGAAGGAGGAGGGACTGATAATTAGCGGGCGATGAACGGTATGACATATGTTTTCCGCCGGCGGGGACGCCTGCCCTCCGGGCGGCTGGAAAGTTTCTACCCTCACGCTGCACCGCAGGGTATAAACCTTGCAGCCGCCCCGGGGGGCAGGCGTCCCCGCCGGCGGAAACGTTTGTGCTATATCGTTATTCGCCCCTTGAGGGAGGGAGAGAGGGAGACTTGCATCCGCGCCCCCGACCGCGCGCCGCGTGCCGACCTGTGCCCGCCAGCGCGCAGCGCTCCGCGGCCAGATGCCTACTGGCCTGCTTAGAGCTGACAGGCGCGCGGGGCTCCAGGGCGGACGCCCCCCCCGCCCGTCTTGGGAGGGCGGGGGCAAGGCCCCGCCGCTGCCACATCAGCTCTGCCGCACTAGCCGTGGCCCGACTTGCGGTTCACGACGGGGGGCCACGATGGGCCAGTTGCCCGTCGTGGACCCCCATCGCTTCGCACCAGTTTCGTTCTGAACGCTCGCTTCAGACGTTCGGCTTCGCTTCGTTGTTTGTCCTATAGCGCCAGCGCGGTTCACACATCGGTGTCCTCGGTCGCTGCGGGCCACCGATTCCAGAAACCCTGGCTCCCCCTACCGGCGCTAGAAGCAAAGCATTTAACCGCTTCTTTCGCTCTGCCGGTCCAGTTCGCATCACCGCGGGTCTGCCACGACACTCCAAGAGAGGTCAGAACGATTTCCCAGCAGGCCGCCAACAAATTGCGCCCTCCCAGGGTTGCGGACGGCTCCCAGGAGGCCCGAGAGAGCGCAGGACTAGCCCATGAGGGCTCGGCGGCCCACGCGGGGTTATCAGCGCGAAAGATTCGTCCAGGAGCGCCTGAGAGTGTGTTCAGTTATCGCAGACCTCACTGCACCTCGGGTTCGGTCCGCTCATGTTGGAGGGAGTGGTGGGATGCTGTTTGTTACGATGTACTGACCTATCCGTGATCGAGGTCCGTCTTCGTTGCTACTCGCTCCTGTCATTTTTCTGTCCTGTTCCTCTTCTCTCATTCTGGCATTTGGCAGGGTTTTGGAGCAGCCGATGCGTTGTGAGTGCTGTTCGCGGGGGCAGTTTAGGGGCCTCCTGGGCCTCGTGGGACCTCTTACAGGGGGTCTCCTGAGAGTCTCTTGGGGACCTCTTGGGGGCTTTCTGTCAGTCCCGTGAGCCATCTTCCGGGAACGGACGCAAAATCTCAGTTCGGGTTCTCGATCTTGGGGCTTTCTTGGTGGCTCTGAATCCTTTTTGTGAGGCATCTTGAGCGCGCCCTCATGGACCCTCTTTCGGCCGTCGTGGAAGCCTCTTGGGCTGACTTGAGGCGAGAGGCTTCTGGGCCGTCTTGGGCGGTCGGAGGACTGAAGAAGCGGCCACGCCAAAATCGCTGGAACCTGAAACAAAAACATGAATGTTGGCTCCCAGGAGCCTTTTCGGTGCTGTATCTGGCCATTGTGGAGATATCTTGAGGCCTCTTGGGATTGGTTTCGGGCCATGTCGGGGCCTGCTGCACATTGAGCTCAACTGGAGTGCCCTCTTGCAGCACCCTTGCGGCTCTCTTGGGGCGCTCATGGAGGTCCTGATGGCCGACCCCAGGGGTTCCGGCAATCCTGAGGGGAACTCTTGGGGACCGCCTGGGGTATTTTCGCCTAGGGACCCGCGCGCGAACTCGGAAATTGGAAACCTCTTGAAGCAAAATCATCATACATAATACTTGCAGACAAGCTGCTCAGGGCTTACGCGCAATGGGATGGCGGCAGCGGGCTCCCAGTGGTACAGATAAAATGCGCTGGAAAAAGGACCGCTTTGGGCTGAGGAGGGGCTCAGGTTTTCGGGCCGTTCCGTACATCTAGGTCGGGGAACCCATCCGTGGCCGAGGCTCCGTGGTCAGGAAGGCCCCTTCGTTCCTTACTTGGCGTTCCTTCTGGCAGCGCGTCGAGTGTGTACTCCCGCCCCCCCCCTCCGCGGACCTCCACCCCCCAGACCTGCCCTGCGGCGCGCCCTGGTCGGAGTCCCGCGGTGGAGATGGCCGATGGTGGCGAGGTCGCCCTCAGAAGCCCGTTAGGGACGGAGGGCTCCCGAATGCTTCGGTCCTCGATGTTCGCAGAGGAAGGACGAGCGACTTTCCAAGGTTGCCCTTGCATCCTTCCCCTTGGGCCCATCCGTGGCCGCTTGCGCTGGCCGCGCCCCGCTCGCAAAGTGTCGACATGGCTTCCGAGGCCCCTGCATCCTTGCCACTCATCGACCACAGGGGCCCGATGGCCCGCCCCCGCCCAGGAACGCCCGACTTCGCGCTCGGGGGCCTACCACCGATCCTTCGGCAATGGATGGCCGATTCCAGGCCGATTTTTCCCGCCGATCCCCCCTCCCCGGGGCGACCGCTCCTGGGAGGGGGGGGGGTGACGCGGCTGCGCTCGAACCCGACAGGATGACGAGGAGGAGAGGGAGGGAGGGAGGGAGGCAGGGAGGAGGCATACTTCTTCCCCAATCAGAGCTTGCCTCTGTAGGGGTCCCAGCGGATTAAAGGTTTAGGTGAGGTGGGTCGCCGATTTCGGTGGCCGGGCCCGGGTGCCCGGGTGCCCGGGTGCCCGGCGGTGCCCGGGTGCCCGGGTGGCCGGTGAGGTTGGTCGCCGATTTCGGTGGCCGGGCCCGGGTGCCCGGGTGCCCGGGGTGCCCAATAGCCTAATAGCATCTATAATATAGCCCTATAGCCCTATAGTGATATAGCCCCATAGCCCCATAGACCTATAGCCCTATAGCCCAATAGCCCTATATAGCCCCATAGCCTTATAGCCCTATAGCCCTATGGCTCTACAGCCTTATAGCCCTATAGCCTTATAGCCCAATAGCCCTATAGCCCAATAGCCCTATAGCCCTATAGCCCTATAGTCTCATAACCTTACAGCTTTATAGCCCTACAGCCCCATGGCCCAAACAAAAATCTGATTAGGGTTTTTCTCCGGTGTCACATCAGGAGGAGGAGGAGGAGGAGGAGGAGGAGGAGGAGGAGGAGGAGGAGGAGGCCCCCCCGAGCTGCCACTCCCAATCGTTGCCCCTCGATCCTCCCCCCCCTGCGGCCTGGCGACGGCAACGACGATCCTCGCTCGGAGGTGGCCCGCGAGGCCGAGGAGCAGCGCGAGAGGGATCAGGCTGAGCGAGCCCTGCGCCAGGAGCTGTCCGTTGCACCAGCCCGCTCTCTCTCTCCCCCTCCCTCTCGCCTTGGAGTCGGCCGGGGGTCTGAGGTGGCCCAGCACCGGCTCTGGCCAGCAGGAAGGCGGGGCGAGGTTCGAGGTTCTTGGTTCGGGAATGTGTTTTGCTCTTGTCGGCCTCGGGGCCGCACTCGGACCCCAGGGCCGTCAGAAACTGATCCCGGGCGAAAAATTAAACCAGACGGACTTATGGGAGGGGTCCAGGGACAGATTTTCAGCGGATTTGCCTTCCCACCACCCCCTCCTGATTGGATTGTTTTTTTGTTGGGCCCAGCCAGCTCAGCCCCTAGCTGCTCTCTCTCGGATTCGGGACGATCGAAATTTGCATGAAAACAATGAGGACTAAGACCGACATCAGCTTTGTCAATGTTGACCCAGACTCGATCCCGGTGTCGACGCGGGCGTTGCCCGTTTGAGAAAGGTCGCCTTATCAACAGCGGCCGATGCCGACTTGGAGACAGCATTTGCTGTCGGGCATCGTACCCACGTGCACCATACTACTTTGTTGCGGGCGTGCCAACCTCTGTCCGACCTAGCCTCGGCCGTTGCTTTTGGCTGGCTGCTGGGTCTTCCTCTCCGCCTGCCCTGCGCCAGGTCAGCCCCCAGTGGCCCCGAGATGGCCCCGAGACGGCCCTTTTTGGCTTGGAGGTGGCCTCAAGATGCCCTTCGACGGCATCAGGCTGGCGCCAGGGCTCAAGCTAAACGGTATTCTGTCGATTTCGTGGACAGTTCGGGTGTTGATTTCGTTTCGCAGCAAAGGCAACGAAAACAAAACGAACACGACAAACACTGTTTAGCTCAAGCCCTGGCTGGCGCCATGATGGCTCTGACACGGCCCCAGACGGAGATTGCGAGAACCATGCTCGAGCCCGGGCCCGTTGGTGTTCACCCTTCCTCCCTCTTGCCTCCCCCCTCGGCAATTAGGGGGGAAGTATATAGGGGGAGGCGGAGGAGCAGGAGGAGGTTTGCAGCAGCGGCATCAGTAGGAGAGCAGCAAGGAGCTCGGAATGAGAGCAGGAGCTTGGAGCACGAGCAGCAGGAAGCAGCATGGGCCCGTGGATCCGAGGAGGGGGTTTGTAGATAACCACCGCCTGCAGGATCAGTTTACAGAGGCCTCGGCAGGCGGTGGACATGGATTATTCGGGCCCCCTGGCGCCCAAGTATATCCATGTCCACCGCCAGTTTGGGTCCCCAGGACGTCGGTCGCAGGTGGGTACGGATGTATCCCCGCCTCGCACGTGGAGGGACCCTCGACGGTGTCGTCTGGGCCTCACATTTGGCCATTTTGGGAGGCGAAGCCCCTCGGTGCACCCAGCGGCCACCTGACCGTTTTTTGCCGGGGTCGGCACGGCGCGCGGATGTTTCGTCTGCCTTGCATGCGGAGCGCCCGGTCGGACTCGCGGCCGCAGGAGGAGGAGGAGGAGGAGGAGGAGGAGGACGAGGAGGACGAGGAGGAGCAGAGTGCAGGAGCTCGGCGCTCAGAGTTCGGAGCAGCGGTTGTAACACCAGGAGCCGCAGCAGCAGCGGCGGCGGCGGCATTCTGGCCGCCAGCAGGGCCAGCGGCGGCAGTTTGATCGCGGCCCGTCCCCCGTCAGGAGCATGACCGCCAGGAGGCGGAGGCGCTCCGGCAGAAGGCGCTGGAGGCGAAGGCGAAGCAGAGGCGCGCCTCGGAGGGATCCCCAGAGGAGCATGTTAATGGTACGTTCCAGGATGTGTCGCACGTTCCAGCATTCCTGGGACTTCCTGGTGTGTCGCACGGGCTGCACAAGCAAGGGCCGCCGGCGCCTCCTGGAAATCTCACCGTGGCATTATTGTCGTCCCAATTCAGTCGCTGTGCGTCAGTTCCTGCGGCCACCCTGGGTGGGTGCCGCATACGCGTTTGGGCGCACGTCCTTCCAGCGCTCGGCCCTGGCATGGCCGTACACGTCGCCCCCTGTGCACGCGTTTGTCCAGCGCTGGGCTTCCGCTTCATAGCGTGGGCCGTGATGTGTGTGTGTGTGTGTGCGTGTGTGTGAGTGCGCGAGTGTGTGCGTGTGCGTGTGCGTGTGTGCGTGTGTGCGCGCGTGTGTGTGAATGTGCGCGTGTGTGCGTGCGCGTGCATGTGGGTGTGCGTGCCGTGATGTGTGTGCGCGTGTCTGTGTGCGTGTGCGTGCGTGCGTGTGCGCGTGTGTGTGTGTGTGTGTGTGTGTGTGTGCGTGTGTATGCGTGTGCATGTGTGCGTGTGCGTGTGTGTGCGCGCGTGTGTGTGCTCGCGTGTGTGCGTGCGTGTGGGATCCTAGTTCTGAGGGCCGGGCCGCGCGCCCCCGTCCCGCGCTGCTCGCTCGACGTTCTCCGCCTCGTCGCTGCGCGCGAGGCCGCGATCGCTAAACAAGTGCTTGTGTGTGGTGTGTGTGTGTGCGTATGTTTGTTTGTGTGTGTGCGTGTGTGTGTGTGCGTGTGTGTGTGTGTTTGTTTGTGTCTATTGGTCTGCGTGTGTGCGGGCCTGGCCGCCGCGCGCACTGTGTTTTGATTTACTCCGCCTCGTCGCCGCGCGGGAGGCCGCTACCGCCAAAAGTTTGTGTGCGTGTGTGTCTGGTTCGCGTTGTGTGTGTGTGTGTGTGTGTGTTTGTCTGTGTGTGTGTCTGTGTGACTGTGTGTCTGCATGTCTGTGCGTCTGCATGTCTGTGTGCATTTCTGTGTGTGTGGTATATGTCTGTGTGTGTGTGTCTGTGTGTGTGTGTGTCTGTGTGCGTGTGCGTGTGTGTGTGTGCGTGTGCGTGTGCGTGTGTGTGTGTGTGTGTGTGTGTGTGTGTGTGCGTGCGTGTGTGTGTGTGTGTGTGTGTCTGCGTGTGTGTCTGCGTGTGTGTCTGTGTGTCTGTGCTGCGTGCGTGTTCGTCTGAGGGCCTGGCCGCGAGCGCTACTTCGGTGCCGACTGCACGACTTGATTCGCCTCTTCTCTGCGCGCGAGGTTGCGACTGCGCTGCGCGCGAGGTCGCGATCGATCAAACAGTGTTCGTGTGCGTGCGCGTGTGTGTGTGTGTGTGTGCGTGTTTGTGTGTGTGTGTGTGATAGAGAGTGCGTGTGTATGTGGTGTGTGTGTGTGGTGTGTGCTTGTGTGTGTGTGTGTGTCTGTGTGAGAGTGCGCGTGGGTGAGCGTGTGCGTGTGCGTGTGCGTGCGTGTGCGTGTGTGTGTGTGTGTGGGTGTGTGTGTGTGGGTGAACGCGTGTGTGGTGTGTGTGTGTGGTGTGTGTGTGTGTGTGTGTTTGTATGCGTGTGTGCGTGCGTGCGTGCGTGGGCGCCTTGCTGACCGTTCTTCGGATATGGTTGCTCCCGTCTCTTCCCCCCTGTCGTTCACCCCTCCCGTCCCTGCCGGGCTGCCCCGCCGTGAGTTTCGTGCAGTGTGGTTCCGATTGGGCGAACCCTGTACGTCCCCAGCTGGGCCCTTGGCAGCCCCGCCGCGCCCGCCGAGCCGAGACCAGCCTTGCCACTCACCTGACTCTGCTGTGTTGCTGCGCGCGTGCACGCGACGCCAAGAAACGTCCGCGTGCGTGCGTGCTTGAGGTTTCTTCAGCGGGGGCGTCTGCCAGCGCGGTGCCAAGCGGCTTTGCTCCTGGGCGGCCTGCCTTGCGCCGAGGGCAACCCAGCAGCTTTTGCTCGCTTGGCGGCGCAGCGGATCGTGCAGCTGCCCAAAGTGCCAGACTAGGGACTAGGCGCTGCCGGTCCGGACGCCTGCGGTTGCGCGCAGCGCCCGAATTCGCGAGTCAGAAAAATGAGGTCGTTTGGCCGCGTTACAGCTCTGCATGCTGTCCAGGAGATGCGGTAGGTTCGTGCGGCGTTGGCGCGCCAGCGTCGCCGGCGAAGTCGCTCAGGGTTGAATTCTGGGACGCGGAAGCACCAAGGGACACGGTGACGCCATTGGACCCGATTGACTTCGTTTTTGAACGATAGGGGCCGCGATCGATTCAAGGTTGAACGGTCGACGCGGTAAAAACCTTACGCGCGCCAGCGCCGCACGAACTTCCCGTGCGGATTCATGCGCCTTGCCCGAAGGGCGCAGGCACGCGCGCTTCGCCGCACGAGCATGCACGGGCGCCTCGCTCGATCGGCTTGTTACCCTCTCGATTCCCACGCCGTGCCGCCCCTCGGAGGAGTCTGGCACTTTCCCGGGTGTCCTTGCAGAGTGCGCGCCGATTGCGTCGGGAGAAGTGCAAAACACACAGACACAAATATTGTTTGATTCCCAGGAAAATTGGAAATACGGGAAGTGGAGGGCAAAACAACTATCCAAGAAATACGGGAAAGATTTGGCATCCTGGGAACTGTGTCGATTCATTTGTGCGTGTCCCTGGGCCCCCAAAAAAACAGTTCGGCGGTTGCCTCCACCGGGGCACGATGATCCTGATCTCGGCGATGGTGGTAAGATTCGGGTTTGTTGGGTGGCCAATCCATGACCATCTGCCCCCGGTGGAGGCAATGCCCTGCGTTGGTGGGGCCCACCTCCAGGCTTTCAGTGGTCTATTTTCGCTTCGGGGGGACAATCTGAGCCGCAGACGTCTCGTCGGCCAGCAGCTGACCCCGTGGTTCCGCCATGAGCGCTACCGACGCCGACGTGGCTCCCCAACCCCCGCCCACCCACCCCAGAGTGAGGATAAAAAGGAACAGGAGGAGGAGGAGGAGGAGGAGGTGGAGGAGGAGGAGGGCGTCAAGGGAGATGGCTGGCAAGAGTTGGGAGTAGAGGCGGCTTAGGGAGGAGGCGGCGGCGTAAGAGGTGTAGGAAAAGAAGGAGGCGAACAATAATGAGGGAGAGGAGAGAGAGAGAGAGAGAGAAACAAAAGAGAGAGAGAGAGAGGGCGTGCGCATGAGGACGCGGAGGAGGTAAGGCAGAAAGGGGGAAGCGGGGGATCCCAGCGTGGCCCTCGTCCTCGTTGTCTCCCTCACCATCCCCCGTGCCCGTTGTTACCTTTTTTGTTGCTGCCCCTGAGTTTATTGTTCCTGTTCAGGACTCTAGCTGAACAGTGCATTGGCGGTGGGCCGTTTTCGTTTTGATTCCGTTTAGCAGCAAAGCCAGCACAAAGACAAAATGAGGGAAACCGAAAACAAAACGACAACGAAAAACTTTTTTCTAGCTCGAGCCATGTTCCTTTCACCGCTTGACCCCATCTCCCTCCTCCTCCTCCTCTATCAGTATCCCCATGTCCTCCTTTCCTCGGCGTCCATGATTTGATTCCTTCATGGTGGCTTGGCCAAGGGGAGCGGGGTTGGAGAAGGACGGGCGAGTTGGCCATTGGTTGGACGGGGATGGCCTTGGACCCGAAGCTGGCCATGGCCAGGCGAAGGGTACGCCGTTCAAAGAGGAGGAGGAGGAGGAGGAGGAGGAGGAGGAGGAGGAGGAGGAGGAGGAGGGGGAGGAGGAGGAAAAAGGGCACGAGGAGAGGGACAGGGGGGAGGGGCAGAGGGAGCAGGAGGAGGGGGTGATCTTCCTGCTTGGCAGAGAGAGCGCACCTCCTTGTCCCTGGACCCTTCTTCTCGATCTGTCCCCCTCCCTCCTCTCGGTCTGATCGAGACGGGTACGGGCAGAACGGGCACGAAGACCTTCAGCACCTCCTGTGATCTCCGAACAGGCTTCACTGCCGGCGTGGCCGCGGACCTTGCTCATTTGAGACAGAAGGCCGCCTGCCCAACAGCGGCCGCTGTCGGTATTGGACAACATTTGCTGTTGGGCGTTGCACCCGCTTCTTCCGTACGTGCATGCTTTCGGGCGTCCATGTCCTCCTTTGTGGGGCTCCTCGGCAGAGGTGTGCGCGTAAGGGGCTCTGGGGCGCCCCGCCCCGCCCCATCCGCCCCGCCCCAGCTTGCTCCCGCCTGCCTCCGTCCCGTCCTCCCTTCCCTCCTCCCTCTCCCCCTCTCCTCCTCCCTCCCATCTCCTCCCGCTCCCGATCCGCTCCCAGACCTCCTGCGTCTTTTTCTTCCTCTCAATACCAGGCCCCCAGAAGCCCTGGCCCTCCCCACAGTCGGGCGTTGCGCATAGGGGGGGGGGGAGGGGGGGCGATCATTGGGGGGGGTGAAGGCGTGTGCGCCACTTGTGGCCTCAAGCGGCTCTCTTGGGCCCACACGGGGGCACCACGAGTGCACGCGCCTCCCCCTGAACTGTCGCTCCCCTATCAAGCAACGCCCGACCCAGGGCCGGCGTTTCGACCCGAATCTTTCGCCGTCCTCGCCCTCGTCGTCTTCGTCGTCGTCGCCGTCGCCGCCGTCGTCGTCGTCGTCGTCGTCGTCGTTGCCGCCGTCGCCGTCGTCCTCGCCGTCGTCGCACTCACCGTCGTCGTCGTCGTCGCCCTCGTCCTCAGCCCCGCGCCGGCAGCGCTCCATAGCGCCCACTAGCAATCCAATAGCGCCATGCGGGGGAGATGCATTCTGTCCGCTGTGCTCGCGATGGGGCGCGCTCTTGGGCGTCATGGGGACAACAAGCTTCCCTGCGTTGCCTTCTACCCCTCCCCACCTCCGGCTAGGGCGAAGGACGAGGAGTTCGAGCGCACGCTGCTGTCGGAGCCCGAGCCCCTGCGCAAGGCGGCCGCGCAGCTCATGGAGGCGGCGTACGGCTCGCCCGTGCAGCTCGAGGGCACCGGCAGGTCCCGCGGGCTGCCGCTGCGGCTGTTCACCCGGCGCAAGGATCCGAGGTGGGGGTTCATCCTCACCCACCGCCCGGGGGATCGATCCTCGCGGACCTCCACGGGCGGTGGATGTGGATGTATGCGGGCCCTCGGGGGGCCACAAGATGTCCATACCCACCGCCCGCTGGGGCAACAGGACGTCGGTCCCAGGCGGCGGATAACGAACAATTCCCGCCTCGCAGAGGAGGTCGCGTGGCTCTGGGCCGGCGCCGCCCAGGAGCTCATAGGCCGCGGGGGCGGGGGTCAGAGGCTCGGAGTGAGCAGGGACCGACCGTCCCGGCATATCTGTAGAGCCACCACGACATGTTCTCCGAACAAACGAGCGCTCGAATCACAGAAGTTAGCGTTCTCAGAACATAAAGCCGATGTACCAAACGACGACGGTCTCAGCCAGAAATGCTAGAAACATCTCGTGCAAAGAAAAAGGTCCCTAGAGCATTATTTGGTGGGCCTGTAGTCTTCGCCACTGCTCTAGTAGAGGCTGGCACCAACACCAGTATCGGCGGTTGTCTCCACCGAGGGAAGATAGTCCTGATCTCGGTGGATGGTGGTCGTATCCGGGTTTCTCAGGCGGCCCATGGATTTGGAATCCATTGCCCGTCTGTTGCGAGGCAACTATATAGGAGGGGGTCTTGAGGGCACGGTGTTTACACAGTGGAGATGAATTCGTGAATTCTGTAAGGGTCGGGATTGAAATGCTTCGAAGAAAGCGCGTCCACTCGTTTTTTGAGCTCAACGCACCACCTCTGTAACTCGACGTGGGAGGTCGAACGAGCCGAGGACGACCAGCACGAGCGCCCAGACGAGGATGAGCAGCAGCACGAGAGGGACGTACAGCTGCACCTCGATGAAGGCGAGGCCACCTTTATGCATTGACCTTCGGAGACGAATTGACCACACCCAATACCCAGTGCACTCCAGCGCGCGCAAGCCCACAAACGGGAACCACATACAATACCAGGAAGCCTGCAGCCACGTACAACCGAATCGTGGAAAAAACACTGCAGGACGCGGTGGACAGCACCAGAAACGAGATGAAGAATTCAGCGTGAAAATCAAGCATATACACATGAGCATGGCGCAGGGTAGCCCCAACATCAGAATATCTTCATGAACTCCTCATCCGATGACTCGCCAAAGCCGTCGTCATTGAGGTCAATTTTAGAGCTATGCCGAAATAGAGAACGACCCAGATTGCTTGTAGGGCCGAAAAGAAAACCTTCCCCAGGAACAGCTGGAAGGTCCCGCGGCACCCAAGGCGGAGCAGCGAGAGAGGACGCGGCGAGCTCCTCCCTCTGCGGCGACTCCACTTGCACATGCTCGACCCCTCCCTCAGAGCCGTTAGCCGCAGGGGGAAGGGTCCCCACGGCTGGATGCTGGGCAACCCCCTCCTCGATGTCCGCTTGGGCCTCCGTCTCGGCCACGTCCTCGCAAAGAGGAGCCTCCACGATGGCGACCGACGGGACGAAGACGGGCGCCTCCGCGCGCAACTTCCCCTCGAAGCCTCCCGCGGAAATGGACTCTCGTGCAGCACGAACCTCGAGCCGCCGTTCACGCTGGGCGCGGCGCAGCTCAGCTGGTTTCGCCGTCGCCACGTTGATGCTGTGCGCGTCTGCGTGCAGGGCCACGTTGCGGCGCAGAGTCTCGAGCCACGAGGGCTCTCTCCCTGCCAGCTTCGCCTGCAGGGCGGGGAGAACAGCCGGCAGCCTCTGGGCGGCCTCGTCGCTGCCGACCAGGCGGCTCAAGGCCATCTCGGCTGCCTCCATGCTGTCGCGGACCCGCGAGAGCTCTTGCGACAACCTCGCGATGGCGTTGTCCGCCGACCAGTGCGCCCAGTCACGACCAGCCTTCCGCTGCGCTGCTGAGCGCCTCGGCGCACACTCCGCGCCGTCCCGTGAAACCATCTCCTTTCGCTGGCTTGGGCTTGGGAATCATAATTGTGCGGCAAGCCTCGGGTTCGCAGCATGCCGACCGTCGGAGAACAAGAAAGGACATGCAGTCGGATTGAGGGACAAAATCGAGGTCGATTCGGGGAGGGTACCCTCGTGTTCTTCGTGCTTGCTGGATGTTCTTGTGCATCCAGGGGGAGGGTACCCTTCGATGCTCTCTCCGTTTTTGCCGGCGGAGGGTCTCGTGTTCAGGATGTTCCTCTGGCCTAGGTCCGACTGTACTTGTGCGGCAAGCCGGGGTTCGCAGCATGCCGACCGTCGGGGAGCAAGAAATGATAAGCATACAGTTTTGGTGGTCCACGCGGATTTGTCGGATCGGCGCCAGAGGACCCCCTTCCGGCGCCGCACTTGGCGCGCTCCCCGCGCCAGGAAGGGGTGTCCAGCGCCGATCCGAGAAATCCGCGCAGACCTCCAAGAATACATGTTCATGTCATGTATTGTTCCTCTAGACCAGGTCTCGCATCACGGCCGTCGTTGACTCAGGTTAACGCGTACCCGGTATTCCTCAGATGGATGTGTTTCTCAAGAGTTGGGCTTACAGTTCAGGTGAGACCGTCGCCCCCTGTCGGGCTCAGGCCTGACTCGAGAGTCTGCGGAAAGGTGAGGATGCGAACGCACGAAAATTGTTCAAGTGTGCCAGACAGAATTTCTAACATATCAGCTTGGCTCATGCCAGATCATTTGATGCTTCCGGTATTGGCTTGGCATCGTTCAGACGTGTTCATTTGTCTTCTGCGAGGACCATCGAGGAGCAATTGGGATCGTCTTGCGAAAAGGTAAACGCACGAACCCGCAACAATGAACACGCAAGGGACGTCCGAGCGATGGCAAAGTCTTGGTCTTCGCCGGGAAAAACCGAAACCGTCCATGATCTTCGTCGGCCGTCGGCCGTCGGCGGTGGTGGTCGTCGTCGCCCTTCAGAGGGCAGGCGGGCATAGGGATCGAGGAGGAGGAGTGATCGAGGTTGGTTCGGGAGAGTACCCCTGTGTTCTTCGTGTTTGTTTGATGTTCTTGTGCACCCTGGGGATTGCGACGGAGGGTATGTTCTTGCGAGTTGTTTTTTCTGGCCTAGGTCTGACTGTAGGCGGGAGGAGGAGGAGGAGGAGGAGGAGGAGGAGAAAGAGACGGATCGTGGCGGAGGAGGAGGAGGAGGAGTAGGGGGAGGAGGAGGAGGAGGAGGAGGAGGAGGAGGAGGAGGAGGAGGAGGAGGAGGAGAAGGATCGATGAGGAGGTGGAGGAGGAGGAGGATCGATGACCGAGGAGGAGGAGGAGGAGGAGGAGGAGGAGGAGGAGGAGGAGGAGGAGGACCGATGAGGCTCGAGGAGGTGGAGGATCGATACGAAGGAGGAGGAGGAGGAGGAGGAGGAGGAGGAGGAGGAGGAGGAGGGCGGGAAGAGGAGCCGTCGTCGCCCCGCCCGGCGGGCAGGCGGAGGAGTGCCCGACCCGTTCTCCCCCACGGAGTGAGGCGCCCAGACCCCGGGGCGGCGCGGCGCGCCTTCCCGCAGGGCCGCCTCTCGCGCCCAGCGTTTCCTGCTCCGCCTCCTCTGGGCGGCCAAGAGCGGAGTGGCGACTGCGGTCGGGCCGGGGTGCAAACGGGAGGATGCAGACGCGAGCAGGCACACTGCAGCCTTCGACCCCCCAATCGCCCATGCATCGCCGATAGGAAACCGAGAGCCCAGCCGCGCAGCAAGGTGCGGATGCGCTGTCGGGGACTCCCGCCGACTTCTCGGCGACGTGTCGCTCATTCCAGGCCCACGTCCCACCCCCCGCCTAGCCAGATCCCCGACATTGCCCCTCAGGACGTCGGCGTGCGTTGCGGTCAGGCAGAGGTACAAGAACGAGGTCGGTTCAGAGAGGGTAGTCTAACGTTTTTCGCGTTCGTCTGATGTTTTTGCGCATCCTGGGGGAGGGTACCCTCGACTGTTCTTCAGCTTGGCTGGCCAAGGGTTTCGTGCTCTCGGAGGACGTTCTTCTGTCCCAGGTCGGGCCGTACCCGGACCCTCTGGGGTTATGCATCAATCACGGCGGGAGTTGTTTTGCCATTTTCAGCTTCTGGCGGCCTTTTCTGGGCCTCGGGACCGCGAAACAGCGGCTCAGGATGAACAAAAACCAGTCCCACGGAATGGGTCTATTTCTAGGGGTCGAAGTCATGAAAAAATGTGACGTCTGGGGTCTGGACAAGAGTTAAGAGTACGAGGTCCAGGGCCATGGTATCTCGCCAGATTCGGGCTTTATGGGGGGGGCGTTCAAAGTGAGGGGTGAAGACAGGTGTACCTTTTGTTCCTTCAGGGGCAAAAACGGGCACAAAAGATACACTTCTCTTCCTCGGGTGCGAGCAATCCCGTGCAAGAACGTTCAGAAATCGAGCGGTCACTTGGCACATCAGCGTCTTTTCTTTTTTATATAAAGACAATGTCTCTTCTCTGCACCAATTGTCGCCCCCCCCAGCTGGCAATGCCCAACGGAGGTCATGGCACCGGGCTTCCCCTTTCAACACGTCCGCTGGCCCCCCCCATGGGCAGCGCGCGGGCCTCGGGCCTTGCAGTCAACCCGCATAGTAAGGACGAGCGACTTTCCAAGGATACCCTTGCTTCCTTCCCCTTAGGCGGCCCATCCTGGGCCGCTCTCGCTGGCCGCGCCCCGCTCGCTAAGTGTCAACGTGTCCTTCCAAGGCCCTTGCATCATTATCGTGCGTCCTTCTTAGACGGGTTGACTGTGATTTGCGAGCCCCGCTCTTACGCGCTCCCCTCTTTGGACGCACCCGACTCGGCTCTTGCTCCGCCTCCTAGAGGTCTCGGGCTTTTTGCCCGCTCTTTGATAGCAGGCGATTTCTTGCCCCTAACCGTTGTTCCATGAAGACCAAGCCGTTTTGAAAAGAAGGGGAATTCTAGGTATGCCCACGGGAGGCCATTCGGAAGCACCCCATCGCTACTCGAGCGACACCAAAACGAGGTCGTCTTCGCCGATATTGGCGCGTAAGTTGCCCACGTACTGTCGCGCGTCACCCCTCGTCTCCAATGTGGCGTGCCGCGCTGCCGGCCCTCGGAAGCTGCAGCGTAAGTTCACTGTGTCATCTCGCGTAAGACCCGTTTCGTGTTCTCGTTCGTTCGGCAGTCTTGTCCCATGTTGGTTTGGCCGTCTCTCCTGGGGTGCACCTGGAGGCCCAGACATCTGGCGCGCTCCAGAAAAAGGGCCTCGCCCTAGCGGGCGCGACATCAGCTCGGCAGCTCTTCCGCGGCCAAGGCCAGCGGAAGCAAGACGGGAGCGGCACTGGCGGTGGAAGCCGACGGCAGACTTCGGGGTGACCCAAAAGGGAGTCCAGCTGAAAGGGGGTGGTGCAATAGACTTTGGGGCAATTGTATTGCAA